CGCCCTTGGCTTAGCCTCCACCACAGCTATCACATATGGCACTCCGACGGTTTGTGGCATTGTGGCTGAGAGCCCCACACAGAGCATACAGTGCTTTCAAAACGGTCAGATTGCCATTTCAGTCCAACCCAATATTTCTTTTCAATCCATTTCTGGAGGGAAGAGCTTCTTCTGTGGCCTCAGGTCTGGAGGGTTTGCCCTTCTCTGCTGGGAGACCAGCTTGCCTAGCTCAAATAGGTTTCGGCCGAAACTAATATATCACAGTGGAAGTGTAGCTTTGACTGATCTGGCTGTGGGTGATGAGCAAGTGTGCGCTAGGGAAGTCAACTCTAGAATCGTCAGGTGCTGGAGAGGAAGAGATAATGCAAGTGGGGTTTTGTTTTCCTCACCTGGGGAAGCATTGAGGTTTCAAACAATCACATCCGGAAGCGGGTTTTCGTGTGGGATTTTGATGAATGGTGGGAGAGTTCTGTGTTGGGGCAAGAGTGGTGTTGGAGCTGAGATTCAAACAGGGTTTGAGAATGTGAACATGTCAAGCCTTGTTGCAGGAGGATCTCATGCTTGTGGCTTGAGTGTGAATGGAACATTGGTCTGCAGAGGAAACAACGATTTCGGGCAATTGAATGTACCTTCAAGTACTTCGACGTTCCAGTTTTCAGGCCTTGCGTTGGGGGCAAATTTTACTTGTGCCATTCGGCGAAAAAATGGATTCGTTGTATGCTGGGGAGGAACAAACACATTTGAATATGACAGTGTTGTAATTACAAATGTTTCATTTGATTTAATTTCTGCAGGTTTGGATTTCGTGTGCGGCTTGACAACGGGTAATTTATCAGTGATTTGTTGGGGACCAGGGTGGTCTAGTTCTCATGATAATCTTCCACTGGGAATGATTATTCCTGGTCCATGTGTGCAGGGTCCATGTACTAGCTGTGTGTACCCGAATTCGGAGACTCTTTGTGGTGGTTCGGGGGTAATATGCAGATCATGCCGGGCTGAACTTCCATTAGCACTTCCATTGCCTCCAATAAATCAACCTACACAAGCTTCAGAGCCGGGTTTTTCGTTATTCAAAACAAAAAATAGGCTTCTCTTGGTTTTTGCAATAGTTGGATCAGTTGGGACATTTGCAGGACTCTGCACCATTGTCTTTTGCCTACGGACTGGACTGTGTGGTTCTTGGTTAAACTGCCATGACTCTGTACCAACCGAAAGTTTTCCTGATCCAAATGTGGGTTGTTCTATTGCTAGAGTCGCCAATGTTCCTACTTCATTAGCATCAAGTTCCATGAAGGGCAGTTTAAGTGGTTCATCTTCGAAGCATGGTGACAAGATTGAGTCATTTCACCTGGTAGAGCTTTCCACTGCCACCAAACATTTCTCCACCGAAAACAAGATCGGTGCTGGGAGCTTTGGCATTGTCTATAAAGGCAAGCTTGCGGATGGTCGTGAAGTGGCCATCAAGAGGGGACATACAAGTACCAGGAACAAGAAATTTCAGGAGAAAGAGAGCGCGTTTGACTCCGAATTAGCATTGCTGTCCCGGCTTCACCACAAACACTTGGTGAAGCTAGTGGGATCCTGTGAAGCTAACGACGAGAGGCTTTTGGTTTACGAGTACATGAGCAACGGTTCACTTCATGATCACTTGCATAGCAAGGACAATGTGGAGGAAAATAGCAGCAATGTGAATTCTTGGAAAATGAGGATAAAAATCGCGCTTGGTGCGGCCAGGGGAGTAGAGTATCTTCACAATTATGCAGTGCCAACAATAATTCACAGGGACATCAAGTCCTCAAACATTCTTTTGGATGCAAATTGGAATGCAAAGGTATCGGATTTTGGACTGTCATTATTGGCGCCGGAATCAGACCAAGAGACCATGTCGTCCAAAGCGGTTGGAACAATTGGGTACATTGATCCCGAGTACTTTGTGTCAAACGTTTTGACAGCAAGGAGTGATGTCTACGGATTTGGAGTTGTTCTATTGGAGCTTGTGACAGGGAAGAAGGCTCTGTTTAGAAGTAGTGAAGACGGAGGTCCAATGACGGTTGTGGAACACGCAGGGCCGCGAATAATGGCAGGGGAGCTGCAAAGCATGTTGGATAAAAGGGTGAGGCAGCCGGACCCACATGAAGGCGAAGCAGTTGAGATGGTGGCTTATACTGCTATGCGTTGTGTGAACTTGGAGGGGAAGGAAAGGCCTAGCATGACTGACATTGTTGCCAATTTAGAGAGGGCTCTTGCTCTTTGCGAGGATGATCCTTTTAGCTTCTCTACCACCACAATTTCCCTTCCTTCAGTGTAAAATTCCATTCCAAAAAAAAAAAATGTTCATTCTTTTCTCCCCCATTAATTCCATACCTTTTTTTTTTCTCCACCTTTTACTCTAATTTGGGCGAGCCTTTGTGCAACAGAAATTTTGTTTCTTTGTGATCAAAAGGTCACGAGTTCAAGTCATGGAAATAGTCTCTTTGCAAAGCAAGGGTAAGGTTGCGTACTACACACATTTTCAAAGCAAGAAGCCTCATTGGCTTAGAGTCGTCCTTTAGCGTTTTACCCTAATTGTCATTAAGATTTTTTTTTTCTCTTGTCATGATGGCCTTGTGTGATCTTGTTTGAGGTGCTAAGAGTATCTCTTCACTTTTTGCTCCTAAATGTTGGAGCTGTTGAATAAGACTTTGTTGGTGTGGGATAAATGGGGCCGTGAAGATATATAGAGATTCTAATCAACTCCATCAATAATTACAAAGTGGATCTTTAATCACTTTTCCAAACCTAAAAATAGCTCGGAGTTTATAGTTTAATTGATTAAGAACATTTTATAAAAAAAAGGGTTCAGAGTTCATAGTTCAGTTGATTAAGAGTATCTACCTATGCATCTGAGATTTCAAATTCGATTACATAACATAAAAATAGCTCACGATGAAAATAAAAGAACTAAGTCACGCTAAAAGATGCGCATAACAAGTTTAATATGCTCCTGAGTATAGAATTTAACCATTTGAAATCTATTTTAAAAACAAAAGGAACTTACCAAATATTGGGTTTGGATATTTAAGTAACAAAGTTGACCAAAAAAATAAAAACAAAGAAAAAGATGAAGAATTTTGTGTCACACTAGTTGAAAACGCGGTGCCACTGCCTCCGGCGGCTGCACCGTTTGATAAATCACAGGCTGTACAACAGCTATGTGCTGATGATGAAAGTGGGGTTATAAAAGATATTAAGTCTAAGATTACTAGTTAGTTTATTAATTAATTACTAATTAGGTACCAAATGACGAATCATATGAAGCAATAAGAAGTTGGAACCTACTATAATATTTATAGACATTCAAATTATTGCTGTAGGAAGATTCTAGGGATCTTTTACACGATTTTTTTTAAAATTTTCCCCGTCAAGCTAATGTGGTTGCCCATCGTATTAGCTAGTTTAACTTGTTTATTACAATTGAAACGTTATGATTTGAAAAACATCCTAATTTCAATCACGACATTCTCGATGTTGATTGTGTATTTTTTAGAGTGCTAAAACACTGTTTTTCTTAAAAAATAAAAACTATTTTAGGTGTCGGACAAAAAGAATATATTATTAAATACAAAATTTTAAGTGCAGGTGAATACATTACTTGAGTTACAAGCTTTGTATTTTGTTGTAAGCAATATTTTTTGTGCATAATAAAAATAGGGATACTTTGGATGCGGTCCCTAATCTTTAACATTCTTTGATTAAAACCTTAATAGTAGTCAAAGTTTGATCAAAGTCACTCGATTTTGTACACCTCATTATATTACTATTAATATTTATATTTTTATAGTTTTGACATTAATTGTTTGATATTTTATGAGATTTATAATCCTATAAATTTAAAATCCCTCATTATAATACTATTAGAAACGGTTACAATAAAAAAATTCCAACATTTGGATTGAATAAATGGATAAAAACTATGCAAAAATAAGAAATAATAAATGGCAAAAGAATGTATCCATAGTGTTAAAAAAATTGGTACATTTCACATATAACAAAGTGGTACATTAATAAAGAAGAATGGGTACATTATAAATAAATTAGGGAACAAATAAAAGATTAAAAAATTATGAGTACAAATGAATTTTTAAAAAATATAGGCGCTAAATGTGACATCCCACATCGCCCAGGGGTGTGATCCTTATATGTATATTCCCATTCCTACCTAGTACGAGGCCTTTTGGCAGCTCACTGGCTTCGGATTCCGTTGAAACTCCGAAGTTAAGCGAGAAGAGGGCTAGAGCAATCCCATGATGGGTGACCCACTGAGAAGTTGCTCGTGAGTTCTCAAAAACAAAATCGTAAGGGAATGGTAAGCCCAAAGCGGACAATATCGTGCTACGGTGGTGGAGCGGGCCTGGGAAGTGGTCCCCCCCGGGCCGGGATGTGACACTAAAAGAAATTAATACATGGGTACAAAATAAAACAAAATAAAATGCTACAAATAAAAAAAAAAGGTTGCAAATTAAAAGTGGGTACAAACTAAAAATATAAGTATATGATACAAAGTTTTAAATATATGATACAAAGTTTAGGCATAAAACATAAATATACCATATATAATTTTTCTATCATTGATTAAATATACAATGTCACGTGACGGTATACACATGGGCACAAGCACAAATAAAACTTTAAAAAATATGGGCACAAAAAGAAACTAATATATGGGTACAAATTAAAAATGAAAAGAAAATTGGTACAAATTAAAAAATATTTGCAAATTAAAAATAGGTACAAACTAAAAATAAAAACATATGATAAAAAATTTAGTCATAAATATAAATATACTAATTGTAACATTTTTAACTAAAGAAATATATTTTATTATTCAGATAATTAATGATGTTATTAATACCCAAGGATCTTGATCAAAAATTGAAAATGAATAGGATTTTAATCAATAGAGTAACAAAAAGAAGAATGTGAACCTAATTTCTCCATAAAAAATATATCAAACACAAAACTTCAAATACAACGGGATATATTTTTATAGCAGCTGCAAGGTTAGTGTGTGTAATATTTAACATAGAACATACAGCAGATTATGAGTAAGCACACTTAATTAAACCTCATTTGTCAATTCAAATCTCATCAGAAGCCTCACAGATGTATACTTTTGACCTCTTTCGCTGTGCAGAGGAACAGCTCGGATCCCAGTTCTGAGCTCTCGTATTGGCAGACATGTTTGGCCACCAAAGTCATGTCTGGCGGGAGTGTCATACTCATTGACTTTAACTCTAAGCACAGCCAGCTCTGGAACCCTCAATGGGAAGGTGAACTCCTTGTTCCAAACTGGCACCCATTGGTCCTCTATTGGTTCGGTTTCCATCATTTTTGTTTTATCGCTCGGGACTCCCGCAATTCCAACCTGTACGTGATAATATTTAATTTGTTTACATTGAAATTCACTTTGAATCTCATCTATTTGCATATATGAGTTAATGTTATGTTATGTGTCAAATCAGTTGATACAAAAAATTAAAATAAAAGTTTATGCATGAGAGCGAAAGATGATATTTATAGTAGATACTAGTTACCAGACTTGTTTGACTGTTAATTTAAACCATGCATTAAACAAGAATTTGTTTAATCAATGTGTCTACATTAACCCTCATGTCAAGACGTTACGTTTCAGTAAGGAAATTTATACATTAATATAAATAGTAAGCAATTGACATGTTATATGTCATAGTAGGTAATGAAAAGTTAAGATAAAAGTGGATAAATGTACTCTTTCTTGGAATTATTGATTTATAGCAACTACTAGTTATTGGTTAATATTGTATCTGTCGAACAGTTAATTTGGACTGGCTACTCAAATTAGAACCCTTTATATTGAATTAGTTTGGCAATTTGACAACATAAATCGATAATTTCTCGCTGAATAAAGGATGCATGGGGATGTAAATGTGAATGAACATTTTGTTGTCATACCCTCACGTAGAAGTCCGGTGGAGAACATAGATCAAAGTGTGTGCGGTGGAAATCTAAACGCCATCCGTCACCCATGTATACTTTTACCTGCTTGTCAAGAAAATGTTAGGAAGAGTAACTGTAACTGACATGCTCAATAAGTTTCATCAGATATACCTTCAAAGTTTTTTTCACCGGTAAAGATGCATTAGGGTCAAAAACCTCATTATTTGGGCTAGCCAGCAAAAATTCAGGTTTCTTCACATAGCCACAGCCTCCATTTGCTCTGAACATTCCTTCCATAATCCAAAGGTGCTTTCCATGTCCCTTTGAGAAATGCACAGTTGTGATATAAGCAGGGAATTCGGTGAGAATAGAAGAAGAAAAATTTAGCAATTCCTCATTAACTCACTCGACTTTCTATTTGGTTCTGAGCTTCTTAATCTTTTAAAACGTGTCAATTTACACTACAATGGTCAAATTTATCACTTTTATATGAGTTTTTCTTCAATTTGACCGAAACTGATAGATCTTGTGGTAGAGACCAAAATGTCACGTTCTAAATGATTGGAGGGGCTCAAAGCCAATTTGAAAATCGAATGGGAAAATCAGAATGACCATGCTAAAATTTTCCTTTCCTGGTAAGTTCTTAACTACATATTCATATATTGTCAAAGAAGTAGAAGCCGATTATCTAAAAAGCAATCTACAATTTTCAAAAGAAATCTAACTTGCATATTGAATGCCACCATTTGAGCTCCATAAGTCCACGCAAGCATAGGATTATAATTTGATGAGTTCAAACGTGTACCCTTTGGATAAACCCTCAACAAATTCCTCTGAGTAAACCTAGACAAAGATTAAAGCATATTCGATCATTTAGGTGGTGAAAAAGGAATTACCACAAAACCAGAACTTCTTATGAATAACATCACCTGACAATGTCGGATCCACGAGTTCTTGTTTCATTTTTGAGTTGTTGCTCGTTCAAGCTAAGACGTCTGACTTTATTTGGATCGATATGCCATTTATCTAACCCACGTTTCGGCTTCCCTGCGTGAATCGCAATCAACTGTTTATATTCCGGAATAGCATTCTCCTCGTCTTTATCTTCATCTTCTTCATCATCTTGTTCGTTTTCCTGCTATCAAGTGTGTAATGATACATTAAAAAAGGTAACATGATTTGTGATGCCTTAAGCATATATATGTTAGGCTTACTAACACAATGTAGATTATTTCTCATGCACCTTATGATCAGTGGATCCAGATTGATCTCCAGGTTTCTGCGATTCAGGATACTTTGGTGGCTTGGTAGAAATCAAAATTCTCCTCTTCAATGATGCCGGTGAAGGGAATTCCTTTAAGAATTCTGAATCGGGAGAGTACAGCATGTCACCAAATGTCTCAGTGAGCATCTGCAATCACATTTTTTTGAAAATTTGAAACCACAAAAATGCGTTGAAAACTATAAAATAGGAAAGCCTAAGGTAGGAAATTCTATTCACCGTTGCCACTCTGGCTTGAAGATTTGAATGTAGGTGGTCTTCAAATGTTATGACAACAGGGTACTCAGAAGCAACAAAAGCGTTTTCCTTGATCGCGCGCAAACATTTGATGAGATCCACCGGACTTGTAAGCGTCCTAAATGTTCAAAGAGATCATCATGAAAATATTGTTAATTAATCAGCTAGGACAAATAATTAGTAAGAGAGCAACCAAAGATTAAATTCATACCCTCCATGACGAACCACCACGTCATTTTTCTTAGAACCCTGCCACAAGTCTAATTCAATAACTCTAACACCTTGTCGCAGCGCGTTAATTATCGGACGAACACTACTGTTACTGCTGAGTTGATTTCCTTTTAAGTAAGAGTTGTGGCCGGTAAATAGGAAATAATGAGCCAATGGAGAATTCATGTCATGGTGCACCTAAATCCCAACACATTTATCATCAAATTTCAATACACTAATCATCATTTTGTCACATTAATATGCTATAGAGCTGCGAATATTTTTTAGAAAGTTTGGATGTGCTAGTACTTCTAAAAAATGAAATCATCTTCAGCACTCCGTCCATGTGAGTCGAACCAGAGAATGAAAAGTTTGATGACATTACCTTTGAAGAGAGAGGAGGATTAAGGTCACCAAGGAGATATCGAAAGAAGGCATCAAGGTCGAGTTCCTTTCGTTGAAAGATGTGGAGATGCTTGAGACTGTTGAAAATGGCCTGAGCATCTTCCTTGGTAGCACTGGATTCTCCTTGAAACTCAATCAGAAATTTCTGCAGGTCATCAATGGTCATGGTGCCATTTTGCGCGTACAGATAAAAAACGTTCTTAATATCTTCAGGAGGCTCTGCCATCCGGAGCCTAAATTTTCTCCGGAAGCAAAAGCAGACATTGAAAGACTGCTTATTAGACATTTTTGAAACTACTTTCTCCAGTTTATTTCATTAGAACAGAGAAAGGAAGAAATGAATTAAGTTTTGGTTACGAGACGTATTCATGCCGACTTTTATGTATGAGTGACCTACACTGGAACTCGCATACATTAACGGCTAACAAATGTTTAGCATCTCCCGAAAATAACATATTTGGCTAGAGATTCTTAGGACTGGCTTAGCAGCAATTTCAGAATCTGTGCTCTTGATAACTTTAATTCCCAGCCCCCCACATTGCCTACTCTTTCTGTAAAAGTCAGGTACAAGCTGTTATCTATATGACAATTCCTATCTCAATCAAACTTTTTCTTGGTCCACAAATAAAGAGAAAGCTGCTTTAATACCTGCCCTTCTCACTTGTAGATTCTCTTGTCTCAGTGCAAATTGGCTAAAAAGATCTTTATATCCCGAAAAATTACATATTCGGACAACTACGATGTTCCTTTGATTTCGAGGAGATGCGCAAGGCACGTAAATTTTATATGGTTTCGGAAAGAAAAAGTTTCAAACAGCATTTGGTTCTATGGAAGTTTGAATATATCAATAGTTCTTGTTGCTAATTAACGTGAACATTAGCAGCCCAGCCCCGTTGGGTTACCTAGTTGACTTTATATTAGGGTCTCCTATGATTGTATAATTATCATGTATAGTCTCTTGTAAATCATATATGCACTTGCCTTCGTAACCGAGTAGAATAATATACAAAAAATCTCAAATATTTTAGCATGGTATAGAGAGAAGAACGATTTTAGGATCACTTTCTCAAATACCCATTCTTTGATATCAATATAATCACAGCAACACAATGGATGTCGCTAAGTTTTGAGGGGTAAATTACTTAAATCCTGAGTCTATTTTATTTTATTTTCAATTTCACGCCCACCCGAAGCTTATTGTTTTAAGTTTGTTAACTTGTAAATTTTGAGTGTTAAATACTGCAATTGATACACTGAAATTCGTGGCTCAAAGAGAAATTTTGAGTCAAGGGATGGTTGATTGATTATATAGATAGTCATGGTTGATGGGACGATTTATTCGGCTAGGTACCGCAAAGGAAATCTGGATTAAGAGAATAACAAAATATTGAAAATATGGTAATTTTACAGAATGTTGATCAAACATAGTAAAATGTTGGAATTTTTTCTAAAAATATCTTGTGAAGGACTTAGAAAAGGTATTCCGGTTTTCAATTGGTTCCGAAAATAGTTCATGTTATTTTCTTACATGGGTAACGATAGAGAGACTAAATTTACAAACTAAATGATATATCATCAATAGGAATGAGCACACTTATCAACACTTAAACAATAAACCAATCATCAACTTCCATGTCCTTTGTTTCCAAAATTTAATTTACAATTTTAGTCTCTCTAACATTACTCTTTCTTACAGCTATCGTGTCGTCTCTTACTAATGTACAAGGCTAAGTAGAGAAAACTTACACTTATCATTGTATCATTAGTGTGCAACGCTACAATGACGGTGTACTCATGTAATGTAAGTTGTTTTTCCATAAAAGAAGGGGAAAAAAAATAGATAAGTGTAGGAGGGGAAAAGGTGCAGAAATTACTTGTTGAAGGATTAAAAAAAAAAGAAAAAAACAAGAACCAAAACTGAAAAAACCAAGGCATAATAATGACGACAAAATCTAGTGAAAGTGAGGCTTAAACTAAACATTATTAGCATTACCTCTCTTACTAATGTACAACACTAAGTAGAGAAAATTTATACTTATCATTGTATCGTTAACGTGCAACACTACAATGACGATGTACTCATGCAATGTAAGTTGTTTTTCCATAAATGAAAGAAAAAAATAAATAAATAAGTGTCGGAGATAAAAAGGGTGCATAAATCACTTGTTGAAGGATAAAAAAAGAATAGAAGCAAAACTGAAAAAACCAATGCATAGTAACGCCGACAAAATCTGATGAAAGTGAGACTTAAAACTAAACATTATTAGCATTACCCTTTTTAACAGCTATCGCGATGTCTCTCACTAATGTACAACGCTAAGTAGAGAAAACTTACACTTATCATTATATCATTAGTGTGCAACGCTACAATGGCGGTGTACTCATGCCATGTAGTTGCTTTTCCATAAATGAAAGTAAAAAAAAAAATAGACAAGTGTAGGAGGGAGTAAGGATGCCGAAATCACTTGTTGAAGGATAAAAAAGAAAAAGCAAAACTGAAAAAACCAAGGCATAATAGCGACGACAAAATCTGGTGAAAGTGAGACTTAAAACTAAACATTATTTGCTCTCCTACACTTGAAGACTAAACAATGACAAGAACCTCCGACGGCCAAAGGGACACAATATAGTCTAATCAACCAGTTCGAGCAGAAATACAGGCAAATAAAAAGTTTGAACGAATACCATGACCATAACAAGAAATTAAATGCTCAGAAAAATCGATTATTTAAATTTGTTTTGGAAAACTTGCTGATGGCGGATTAATTAGTGCATTCTGCGCTGCCAGCGTTCTTAAATCAAAGGTGCAGGTGGTGAAGGGGCAGGGCGGACCGGCCTCCCATGGTGCCATTTTCTTTGGCCAAGCACTTAATTTAGTACATCTGAATTCCACGATCACATGGATTAAGGACATTCTTTCTTGATGAAGTCAAGCACGTAAGATCCCATTGCGACATGTACGGATTGATGATTCAATACACATAAGAACATGAGATTCTGAAGAAAAAGGAAGAACAATGCGGGAGGTAGAACTAGAGAAAGGCAAAGCTAATGTCTGAAAAAATGCTTATAAGTAGAAGGCCAAGACCGAAGGGAGTATAAAATAATGGGAACGAATCCTCCTGAGCAAATTATACAGACCGTTGGATTTTGATCCCACGGCTATAATTATTGTAGTCGTTGGATCAAAATCCAACGGTCCGTGTGATTTGCTCAGGAGGCTTAACCTTCTAAGCTCAGGAGGGGATCCGTTCCCTAAAACAATACCATCACCAATGAGTTGTAAAAGCAATGTATGATGTAACACAACAGTGGAGAATGACATGACGCGAGCATAGTTACTGATAATTTTGAGATACAAACACGATATATGTACACGATATTGTATTATACTTTCGTTATATACATGTGAAACATTATTTCGAAAATAACAAGAGAAAGAAGAAATAAAAATTCCAGAAATAAATACGGCTGAGCCATGAAATTTAAATTTACCACAGCTAAGAAATCAATATATGAGAAATGGTATATACGGGCAATGTTCATATGGTTCTAAAAGTTGAAACCTTTAAGCTTTTAGCCCTTTGGGGATCACCAAAAGGCTCCAAACTCAAAACTCACCGTTTCAGTGAGACCGAAATGCGAACCTCTCGACCTTCTCGTCGTTCAGATTAATCCCGGCCATTGCCTCGCCCAATCCGCAGCTGATGTCCGCCAGCACATCCGGGTCAGTGTAATGGGTCGAAGCCTGCACAATCGCCCGGGCTCTCCGGGCCGGGTCACTGCTCTTGAACACACCCGACCCGACGAAAACCCCGTCGCACCCCAACTGCATCATCAGCGCCGCGTCTGCGGGAGTCGCCACGCCGCCGGCGGCAAAATGCACCACTGGCAGCCTCCCGACCTGCTTCGTCTGTATCATGAGATCGTACGGCGCCGAGATTCTCTTCGCGTACGCAAACACCTCGTCGTCGTCCATGTTCCTCAAGGCCCTGATGTCCCCCATCACGTGCCGGACGTGCCGAACGGCTTCGACTATGTTTCCGGTGCCGGCTTCCCCCTTCGTCCGGATCATTGCGGCGCCCTCGCGGATCCGGCGGAGCGCCTCGCCGAGATCCCGGCATCCGCAGACGAACGGGACTCGAAAATTGTGCTTGTTGATGTGGTGCTCCTCGTCGGCGAGGGTGAGGACTTCGCTCTCGTCGACGTAGTCGACGCCGATGGCTTCGAGGATTTGGGCCTCAACAAAATGGCCGATGCGGGCTTTGGCCATGACGGGGATGGTGACGGAGCGCTTGATCTCCTTGATGAGCTGGGGGTCGGACATTCGAGCAACACCGCCCTGTGATCGGATATCGGAGGGGACGCGCTCGAGGGCCATGACGGCGCAGGCACCGGCCTCCTCGGCGATACGGGCCTGGGCAGGGTTGACGACGTCCATGATGACGCCACCGCGGAGCATTTGGGCGAGGCCAACTTTGACGGAGAACGGGGAAGACTTGCTGGTGGTTTCGTATATGGCGCCTTTGCCGTAGACGGTGACAACGCCGCTACTATCAGCCATTTTCTGGGGGATTGGTGGATTGTGAGATTTCGCAAGAAAGGAGGAGGAAGGTGGTGGAGAGTGATGGTATTTTTTTATTAGTTTTTTTTTTTTTTTTCTTTTCCTTAACTTCCCGCTCTGTTGCTCTGATTTCCAGTATCTACTTTTGGAAACTCCAATTTTTCCTAAAATTGAGTTTTTAGTGTACGGTTGGAGACCAAATTTTTTAAATTAAAGTGCTTGTATCACAATTAAGAAATAAGTACGTTAATCGACATTTAATAATTCAATCATTTACAACCATATTATTTTGTTTGTAAATTTAGTTTAAAAATTTTGATCTCCCTAACATTACCCTTAATTAAATTACGTATTTTTTGTTTTTTTACGTTCAATACACAAAAGTTTCACACCAATTTTAGTGATACTCGATTCACGTATCCTACGTGTATTTTAAATGTATTATTGAAAAGATAAATATTTCACACTTTCTATGTTTGGAGCGATTTTTAAATGGATCACGACTTTTCAATTTTCTTACATTGCTCTCTTAAAATTTTGAAATTGTGTCAATTTACACTTTTTATCTAATGAATTATTTGAATTTTTATTAAATTAATAACATAGTGAGCATAAAACCCGTAATGCCAATGACATGTAAGCTTCATTTGCATGCATTGATTAAAAAAGTTGTATATTTAGATGTTCAAATATTCAAAATGTGTAAATTGATATAATTGCAAAACCTCAGGAAGTAATTTGAGAAAATTAAAACCTCTACTAACTATTTTAAAGATCACGCGAAAACTTGAAATGTGAAAAAATTAAAACCCCAATATTCATTTTAAAAATCATTTCATATCTTTAAAGGTGTAAAATAAAATTAGCCTAAAAATTTAATTTTTATTGTTCTCTCCCAAGTGCTGTGTGTCAATGAGCAATGCTATAGATTTCTCAACAGGGGTATGAAAACCTTACTTCAGGAGCCATCTAAGACTACACCATCAAACTACAAAACTAAAAGAATTATGATTATTACACTACGACAGCATACATCCTAGTTTAATCGTCTCCGTTCCTTCGGATTCATGTCCTCCACGGCGTCCATCGTTTCTTGTTTTCGCCGCTTCCATCTCTTGATGAGACTACTATCAGCCGATTGGAGAGCGCACGGGGGGCCAGGAGAAGGGTAAGCGGTAGACTTTTTAAGACACTCCCTCTGTATCGGGTCAGCAAGACAAAGCAAGGATTCTGTACATACTTCCATCGCAGAAGCTGGAATGTCTGGCTTGAAGTCCAGCAGCTTTGAGTACTCCGTTATGAGGTGAAACATGTAATCATAGACCCGATCCATGCTTAGGCTTTCCATGAAATTCTGCCCTCTTTGTCCCATTGCCTTAGCCTGTTCAGCCATTGGAGAATATTGTAGCCTTGATTATGTTGTTCTTTCATATGAAGGTATAAACTTAAAGGATATGAAGGTATAAACTTAAAGGGAAAGCCGGGGGAAAACTGAATTGTACATTACTGATGCGAAATATAACGACGAGAACAAGAACATAATATAGAATACTACTAACAGTTGAAAGATACCTCAGATTGGTGTTCAAGAGCCCAGTCCACAGCAGACTTTATGGATGGGCATATAGCGTTAGGGGAGATGGGCCAATAATTAATCTTAGGAATGAGACCATGGCTGAAGAAATCCTCATATTGCGGGGTTCTTATTAGTGTAAGAGAGCCACATGATACGATATATTTCAAGCTGACTGACCAAGCATAGCCTTCTGCATAGATTTTGTACCTACAAAAGGTGGAAAAGATTTCTGAGCTGCAGGATCACATCCACATGCCAATTAGATAATAAGACGCCAATGGAGTACAACTATACATAACAGCTACTCATCAGCCGAGGAGAAAGAGGAGAAGGAAACATTTTGCGAATCATTGGAACGGTCAAGGTCCACTAGATAAAAAGAAAACACACAAAAGAGAATGTCAAGTCCTCCTTGAAAGTTAAAGGCTGCCCAGGTTTCAGAACTTCAAAAACTATAAACTGCAAACTGCATCATTTTCATAGATGCGGAAAATTGAACTCTATAGACAAAAGCAAAAGGACTACAAAGCAGAGTCAACATATCAACTCCGGGACAATATCTTAGGCCAATAAGTAATAAATGATCAAGCCACATCTTCCTAGCTAATCAGTTGGACTATATATGGAGAATACGATGCTAGGCCATCACTTCTAGAAGCTGTACTTACTGATGATTACACTGCTTAGATAGTTTGGACTGCTCATAACCAGCCCTTGCTTCCGCTTCCCAATCCTATGATGTATATAGAAAGACAATGTCAGGTCTGGTCTAGGCCTATCACTCCTACAGTTCCAGTTAAAGAGAGATCAACATGCAGATTTAACTCAACCTGACGCATAATCTGCGCACTTCACATCTTCGTGTCGTTGCAGTTAAGTAACTCTGTACGAACAGGGGAACTAACACCTGGATTTCCTTTCCAATATGCAAAAGGCTCCTTCTTTTTCCAACTTCTTTCCTGAAAACCCCTCTTGATTTCTGGGAACTGCTCTTCCCAGGGATGAATGTTAAGCTCTGGCCTGTGCAGTAATCATAAACTATAAAGACAATCAGCACAAATAAAACCATAACCACGCATTTGATGCCAAAATAAATGAAGCATTTTCATGTCATACAAATCAGTAAAAGGTTAGCATACAATGTCAATCTTGTTAAATTAAATCCGCCTGATAACCACCATGTAATTGATGCAAGCATACAAGCATGGAGTAATTTATTTACTTTTTAGAAATTTTTACAGCAATTCAAGCACACACGAACAATTAATAAATTCAGGTTCTTTCCCATTGAATCATTGACAATGCATACGCAAACACGAAAAATTACCCGAAAAAACTAGAAACTTAGAGAAACAATTAATATGAATCAGAAGACAATCAAAGAATGATGATTCTTACCAACCCCAGAAGGACCAATCAGGAAATGGGATATCAAAGTGATCACCGTCCGTACAGTACCGGAAAACCGGCAAAGGCATCGATTGGTGCTCGGTCCGGTTGATGATGGGCTTATCCATACAATCAAACATGATATCAACATCCGGAACCCGACCCGGATACCTGGCAAGGAGCTGCAGAAAACCCCAAATGGTGAACATGGCGCGGCTCTGCACGCAGGCCCAGTACAAATCCACATACAGCCTCCTGTCAACAATCACCACGCGACACGCTGCGTATTGCTTGGCGGTCTCCAAATGGGCGGCGGAGATCCGGGTCCGCGCCCAGGGCTCCAGATCGTGGTGGATCCAACGGAAGAACTCGGGGCATTTCGGGGCTTTCGCGCGGGACGACGGAGGACGGCGTCGTTCAGGGACTTCGTTCCTTGTGTAGCGGCAGGTAGTAACAGTGGATGAGCTTGTACGCTCGGTCGTGGAGGGTCTCATCGGTCAAGGTTTTTGGCGGGAAGAAGTGCCACGGCGTCGGCTTGAGGTTGTGGCCGGCCAGTGTCTTGGTCTGAGTGGCGAAGTCGTTCACCTGTTCGACGAAATGCCCCAGTGAAATATTTTTCATAAACAATAAAAATGGAAACCGGAAAAACGACGCTGCGTTTTAGACCTTGTAGATGACGAAGCCGAGTGAGAGAAGGGAGAGGGCGATGACGGATGGGAGGATGTGAGACGGCCCGGCGGATCTCGGAGCCATGATCCGATGCGGCGGCGGCGGCGGCGGATGAGTTGTGGTGGTGCTGCTGCTGCATTGTGTCTGTTCGTTGTATCGCCTTGTAAATTTGTAATTGCGGGTAACTAGGTGGGGCTGAGCTGACTGTTTCAGTTGGGGTCCCACCGGGAAGCAGTGTTTGTCACGTGGGTGGTTTTTGTAACTTCTTACCGGTTTTTTCCCAGGAAAAAATGGATGGCGGGGGACCACCCTCTGCGCTATAAACTGGGAAGTGGACCGGCTTCACCAAGCGTTACGGAAGAAAACTTTCGTAAGCTCCATTAAATATCAATAATCACTGAAATAATTTTGGGAGTTTTAACGAAAAACTCACGGTATTGCTAATTTTAACAAAAAAATATATTTTTAAGCTAAAAAGTCAAATATGATATTATTCATTTTACACTTTACTTTGTCTTTATCGTTAAAGCTCAAAGTTTTCAAACCATTTTCATTAATTTTCCTAATAATTTTATCATAGGTTTTAGGGGTGGGCACGAATCGAACCAAGGAAAATTTACGCTATTTGGTTCGGTTTTGTGAGATTGTTTTTAGCAATATAATCAAACTAAACTAAGTTGTAAAAAATAAGCGAACGATACTCGTTCGTAGATCTAACTCTTTTTTTTTTTTTTTTTTTTTTAAACGTTCAAAGATTCAACTCAGATAGGGCAAATGAAAAGTTCAATTAGGAAAAATAAATGGTCCCAACTGTTGCTCGCTTACGCAACCTTTCATGGCTATGAGCTCCACAACTCATCAAGGGTCGGCAATCTGTTAGCCGCCGACGGTGGTAATCGTCCCTAGCACAACTTTTAGAGCATGTTTATTTACTTCGTGTAAGAATTAGAAATATTGACAATGACAATAAATGTGTGTCGGATAAATAACCCCCTAAATTATTTCTTACCTTAAACTTTCAAGCATTACAAACCCAAATCATTTGCAAACCTCCTCAAAAGATTCATGCCAAAAACCAGAATTCTACCGAAAAAGAAAGGCCTTCTAGTACAATTGAAACCACAAGCTCATCTGTAAGTGAAAAAAAATCCACAGAGAACCATAAAAACTATGGTACAAGGGAGCTCCTCCCTGCAAACTTGGTTCACATATATACACAAGCTCAAACTGTAAAAATCTTCCTCACTTTCTTCATCCTTCTACGGCATATGGGGCACGTACCAGCCTCCTCGGCAATCCTGCACCGTGAATCCGTTTAGAAATCTAACTCTTCTTTGATTTGGTGGAAGTTGAAAATGTTGCAAGTGTAGGTTATGTTCAAAGTCATTATATATAACATTTTGTATAGAGGGTTATAAGCAGAAGACTACGGCATTGATTCAGATTCGTATACCTTGTTCCGCAAGTAAAACAGGCAGTGCAGTGCCCACAGGGAAGAAAGAAGCAATCCCTTGGACCATCAAAGCAAATGACACAAAGACGCCGAGTATTGTTGCTATCTCCTTCACTTGTTAACCCTCCTTCAAGGGAACTCGCTGCAAGGCACTCATCCAAATCTTCCTCGGTATTGGAAACAGATTCATATGACGAACCCCAACTCAAAACTTCATCGTCTTTGGGTGGAAGCAATGGGGTTTGCTCGGATTCTCCCTCCTCTGCCTGAAATTCGGTTGTGTCTTCACCAAAATTTTGGAATTTGTAATAAATTTTAAAGGCCGTTAAGAGGAGCAAAGTCATAACGCCTACAAGCAAACATAGCGGTAGATGTAAAGAAAACGATTTCTTTTCCAACGTTACGAGAAGGATATGAAGGATGATAAGAATTAAGAAATAACCTGCTACAAGAAAATACATGGCCCATCTCGGTCCATAAGACAGGTTTACATACCAGTCATTGTCAGGGACACCCTAAGGATTCAGAAAGTGATGGAAGTTGTATCAATGGCCCGAAAAGGGACAGAAGGAAAACAAAACTCGGGGATGAGAGTCTTTTACATTACCTCTTCCGGGCCTGGAGAAGTTATGACAGCAACATTTGCCCGAAAGAGGGAAAGCTTTAAGCTGCATAACCGGTTATACAAAGAGCATTTGTAATACGCCTTGGTTGTGTTATAAAGAATAGATTTTATGTTGAATACCAACTCTACCTGTTTTATACATAAACATTGGAAGCTCAATAAAGTTGGAAACTAATGATTATTGTCGATATAATTATAACCAATGGATTAAACTTTTGAATAATTACCTCAACATTCTCTGGGTTCAAGTTCCCTACTGCGATATAGTAAGTAGAAGACTTTGGAATTTCCTGCTGGATCCTACCACTTCCTGTGAAGAAAACAGGTTGACTTAGAAGTTTAGAACATTGTAATTGGTTCCGAAAGAGAGAATCAATTTGAGTGATGAATCTTACCATAAATTATATTCCAAGACAATGTTGCGTTACCATATGACGGATCCTCTATCCATTCAGCCAGGCTCTCACTACCTGCAGGTTCATACAAAAGTTTACAACACCAGAAAATACATTTGAGTTCTACTAACACCTCGACCACCACCGCCACAAAAAAAGAGGAGAAAATAACCGAAAAACAAAAGTCCCCCGTATCATATATGCTAGATAAACCTTCTGCAGAGGCATTTGGACCATTGGGAAAGTGCTTAGATTTAAGAGTCGGAGAGGAAGGAAGACTAAGAAATTGGAGAAGTTTCAGAATTTTACTAAATCTGCAACTATCCCAGGTGTCGGAGAGTAAAGAAGCTGTTACAGAACATTATCCCAAATCTACAACTATTTGATTCGACATAAATCCTAGACCTTAGTACGGTAAGTTTAGATAACCATATACGAGGTACTTCAACAGAAACCAAACAAAATATCTGAAACTAGAAGTTGGGAATTACCTTGTGCGATTACAAGGGTTAAAGGCGAGGAACTTGTAGGCATTACACTGTAAATAATATCGATGCTAGACCCTTTGTTTAGAAAGTAAATCCATGCCTGTTACATGAAAAGAAGTAAAGTTTTATCCCATCAACCAAACCAGATGACAAAAACTTAGATATGAAATGGCAAGGAAGATCTTGCCTTGTGATAATTGGCTGGAACAAGTGTATCCTTCGTTTCGGTCCATGCTGTTTCAACATCCAGGGGAGGAGGTTTGTGGAATCCATATAACACTGGCGCAGGTTTTTGCTCATCAAGCTTCTGTGCCTATTGTTTTATAGACCAGATGAGTTTTACTGCACCCCAGTTCTTTACTAAACGAGAATTACAAGATGAAATGCGGTTGATCACCTTAATGGATTGCACAAAAAATGGATTAGTTTGTATCAAGCGCGAGCAGTTCGGGCCTAGTGGTAGATTGCCGGATCCATAGAAACCAAGAATCAGAGTCATAGATGCTGTGCGCGACGAACATCAAAAACCAAAAGTAGTACCAACAGACCAAATTATTCAGATGCTCAAGTCATTAACAAACGAGTTCATTAAGTAACAACAAATGGAAAAACTTGAGAAAAGATGAGGAAAAACCGAATAATCAATTGATTAAATAATTTCAGTCCATTTTACGGAAGAACAAAACTCAAAACCCTCTCCTCAACTGCACATGAAACAAGCAAAAGGGGTTGACTGGACAAAGATTTGGTTTCACTTTTTGTCGGAAGTACTTTTTGCTTATGGGAAGAACTTAAGTAGAGGTTACAATCATTGTGCCGGTATTTTACACCGATAAAAAGTACAACATTTTTGAAGTGAAATGATTTTCGCGTACTTATTTTCTTGTTATGCACTCTTTTTATCGACTCTTTATTCTCATATGAGTTATTTAATCTAAAAGTAAAATATAAATATAGATGTGCATGAGGAGAAAATGATGCCCATAAATCATTTCCTTATTTGAACTTTCTAATGTGACAATATTTGATTCACTTGAGATACGACCGTGGTTTCTCAATCCCAAAACTAATTAAAGAAAGATGAAACAAATTCACACAAGCACTGCAATAAGCGATTGATGAGGAGGGAAACTGACCAAAGAACCAAAAGGTGATAAGCACAGCAAAGGCCGACCAAATATCATCCTTCAATTCAGACGCTCTTACATCGGACACCAACAAGTTCACATGGTAAGTAAAAGTCCTAGAACTTCTCATCCGCTGCTGCTCAGCAAAATCGTCCCCATTTGAACGTCTGTCTCTTTCTTCTTCCTCTTCTCCTTCTTCTTCTTCTTCTTCTTCTTCTTCTCCTTCTTCTTCTTCTTCTTCTTCTTCCACCCGTGAGCTCGACGGCGGAGAAGAAGAAGAAGATGGAAAGGATGCATCTTCTTTTCGATCTGGTTCTGGGGTTTCCATGCTGAAAACACAAAATTCAAAGTTGTACTTACAAATTTATATGAAAAAGAAAGGAAGAAGGAAAGGAATGATTTTTCCTTTTTTGGTTTCTAAGACTTTACATGGATGAAGGGAGTTTTGGGAGGCAGCAGCATCCATTGAGGAAGCAAAGGCGGTGGGGAGGAGGCTGCTAAGCTCACCAAAAAGTCGTGTTTTCTGGTTCCATTTTTGGGTTTTTTCCAGTTGGGAATGGTAGTTGGTGTGTGACGGTTAGTTAATGTGTCGTTTGATTTTCTATTATTTTCCTTTTGGATTTCTGGTCCCTCGGAGGTGGAGCCCGTCAACGAGGTTCAAGGAATCAAGGACGTGACATGTGAGTTGGGGTCGCCCAGCGGATGACTTAAATACCGAAATTTGTTTTATTAAAGATAATGTTATTCATACATTTATTTTTATTTTTCACATGTTTTTCTAAATTTTCAGTTGTGAGACGAAATGAATTAAAGAAGATTAATAACCTAAAAAAAAAAAAAGGGGTGTGTGGTAGACAAAAATAATTGTGTAAATAACATTATCTTTTATTAATTGATGTTATATATTTGATAGTTATTCATGTCGTTATGTTCGCTAGTGAATATTAAGTGGAAAGTAAATAATAAAGTGACACATTTAGCGGTTTGATAAGATGCATAGTCAGACCAACTATCTAAAATTTTGCTTGGATAGTGCTTTTGTTGGTAAATCCTATTACCTCAGTTGAAATTGACCTCCTGAACTATTATTTTGGTAAATTAACTTGTTGAACTTTCAATTAACCCCTCACTGTTATTTGATGAAATTTCATCCACTTGTTGTCAAATGCTGGCACGAATTTACCTTCAAGGTGAATACAATGTTGGTCACGTGGCAATATTTGATGGCAAAGTTGATAAAATTTCATCGAATCTGATAGCGGGGTTAATTGGCTGATTTCAAATAGTTCATAGGCTTAATTTACCCAAAAAATAGTTCAAATGTCAACTTTAACTTAAATACTAATTTAGAGGGTCAAATGGCAATTTACTCTTTCTCTAATTATGTCCATGTCTAAACTTTTTCTCAATTGTCCTTTTCTTCATTTGTTTTGGGTTTGTTGTTGGAGTATAGTATTGTCCACCTGTTGAAATGTCCCACATTGACCGTATTAATGACAAAAGATGAGTTTAAATACCTTAATCTTACTTAAACTAATACCGAGGTCTTTTGGATAAATCCCCACACCTGACGGATTGTGCAGATGGTAATTACCAAGTTGGAGATAATATCGGTGTTGTTGGAAGTGGGTCGTATAGCCCGTCTCTCTGATAAGTCTACATGGTATCAGAGCCAAGGAACGGGCTCGTACTGTACTACCATATGATGGGTGGGTCCCCTTGGCCCCATGCGATGATGGTGGGTCCCTTGGCCCCCGCGTGCAGGGTGAGTGCCCTTGGCTTCACGTGGTTGTCGACGTGCGGATCTTCCACATGTGACCCACAAATTGGGTCCCACGTGAGGGGGCATGTTGAAATGTCCCACATAGACTGTATCAATGACAAAAGAAGAGTTTAAATACCCTAATCCCACTCCAAATAATACTGAGGCATTTTGTAATAAAACCCCACACTTAACGGATTGTGCAGGTGGTAATTACCAAGTTGTTAACAATATTGGTGTTGTTGGAAGTGGGTCGTATGACCCGTCTCTCTGATAATTCTACAAACACAATGTTTATCCAAATCTACTTTATTATTTGGATGAAAGTCCAGTTGTGTTTTGGTTTGTCTTGTTTTTCATAATAGAAAGAATAAATTTGGTTGCAAAAATTTTTTCACTTTTTTTCACTAAACTAAGAGTTAGCAGGTTCTGAACAATAGAAATAACATAATTGATGAGTGAATTTTATTTTGAAGAGTGATTGAATTTATTAAACATTATATAAATAAATGTTTATTTGTACTTAAAAAATATATATAATTGTATTGGGATACATAAATTGCAAAATAGAATAACATATAAAGTTTGCTTGGTAAGTGTTTTCAAAACATTGAAAGCGTTTTTAAGGAAAATGTTTTTGAGTTCCAAAAACACTTGAAGTGCTCTATGCTAAAAACACTAGTTATGCGCTTCTTGTTAGAAGCACTTTAAGTGTTTAGAATTAACTTGCATTTTTATTAAGATTTGGTTCTAAAAAATATCTAAAATCGCTTTCAATCGTTCCCAAACGAGTTTATGGATTATAAACTATTAGAATATATAGAAAACATAGAGAACAAACAATATAATGAGTGCTTATTTAAGTATTGAAAAGAAAAAAAAAACTAATGAAAAATGTTTGAAAATTTTGAGTTTTAATGATAAGGACAAAATAAATGGTAAATTGAATAGTACCAGGATTGACTTTTTAATGTGAAAATGTGGTATTTCGTTAAAATAAACAGTACCCGGGGGCTTTTCGTTAAATTTCTCTTGAAAAAAGTCTTTTACAATTATTGAAAAAATAAAATAAAAAATGAAAGTTATCTATTTTTTGTCTAAGTGAAAGTTGCAGCCTCGACAAACTATGCTCCATTTCTTAATTTTCAAATGTTTAGGGATTAATCGAAACGATAAACAGCCGGCTAGCATTTAAACAAGATTTTTAGAACAGTAAATGCCACATTTGTCAGAGATTGAATGTTAGCATCTGTAAATATTATTGAATTATTAGAAAAGAAAAAAAATCCCTAGAATGAGGCTTCGAGGCCCAAATACATCTTAGCATATGGCCCACATCCAACTCATTACCCAACTTTTTATGCGACTCTTGACGGGACTCCAGACGGCTCAACCAATGACATAACGCCAAAACACCCACATATCATACATGTCGCACCGCTATTGGTGGAACCTCTAAACACTGGGACTCGCACATCGGTACAAATCAGTGAATCCGGAGTGGGAGAGGAGAGTCTGAGACTTTACAGAACTGAAAAAGCAAAGAGATGGCTAGAACGACGTTGTTGCTGCTCTGTACCCTCGTCCTCTTCGGAACCCTAGCTCTCATTGAGGTGAAATTTATAGTTTTGGTTAAATTTATTAATTTTGTTTGATTCAATTGCGTTTTCAAGGATTAATCTTTAAATTTTGTGTATATTCTTGATCAGGCAAAGACGTCGAAGGAGGATCTGAAGGAAGTGACCCACAAGGTTTACTTTGATGTCGAGATATCTGGAAAGCCTGCTGGTATGCTGTTTAATTTGCAATCAGTTTGTTAATCCTTGGAACAAATTCGACCCATTTGCTCAAAATTCAATTTAATTAAGGGACCTTAATCCCAGATTTGATATTGATTTCCGATAATATGATATATGAGCTCGGTTGGGAGCTGAATGCCGATAGGTGATTAAGGTTCTAAAAACGCTAGCCTCTAGTAGGAGGCGGACGTCTGGCGGGCTTAAATAAATTTATTATATTTTATCTAAATAAATGTTTGTTTATATTAAAAAGAAGGAATACTAATAAAAAATATTTAAAAACTTTAAGTTTAACAGTAAGGACAAAATAAAGGGTAAATAAATAGTATCAGGATTTACTTTTTAGTGTAAAAATGTGATTTTTTGTTAAAGTAAACAGTATCATGAGCTTTTCGTTAAAGTTCTCTTAAAAATATATATAATTTTATTATAAATTACAAAATATGGGGAACAAAATTTAAGTATTGGACATAATGAAAACATGGAACAACATTTAAGTATTCAACAAGTTTTTACAATTTATTAAAAAAATAAAATAAAATGCAAAATCAAAACTATCTATTTTTTGTATTAAGTAAGTTGAAACTTAGTTGGTGGGCGCCTCAGCAGGTCTAGACACCCTTTCTTAATTTTCAAACGCCTAGACATTAATCAGGATGGTGGTCGGCCGTCTAAGCTCCTAGGCGGTGTGAGGCGGGGATTTTTAGAACAGTGTAGGTGATCATTTGTGTAGAGGTTGATGTGTTTCTGTGGAGTTGGAGAAATGTTTATGTGCATAGAGTTTTGCAAATGAAAATTTGGGCGCCATAGTTTGATGAATTATTGGGAATTTTTTTGGTGGTGGTGCTTTTTGTTTCTAACTAATCGGTATGGATACTTGTTTTGATCATTGTGTTTCAGGACAGGTTGTGATCGGTCTCTTCGGGAAGGCGGTTCCCAAGACTGCAGGTATTGAACAATATCACTATCATTTTGTGGGTTCTATGTGCTAAACTAAAGCTAACAATTTCAGAACATTACTTATTCATTCCTTTGGTGTTTCAGAGAATTTTCGAGCTCTTTGCACAGGTAACCAGTTACTCATCTTCGTTTCCTCGTATTAAATTTAGAAGTTGATATGTAGTATCTACTTTTTGGGGTTTATCATCAGCAATGTATATGAAATGATCCTTGGTCGAGGCCTTCAAGTTCAGTAACAACTCAATAATTAAAATGGAAGGATGCAAATATTTAGTTGCTATGCAGAAATTTTCTGCATACTGCATTAGAACATAGTGATTAGAAAGTTGTAAGAGTCGACAATGTTTATAAAATTTTGAGCTTTTTGTCCCCAAATATTTCAGGGGAGAAAGGTATTGGAAAGAGTGGAAAACCTCTCCATTTCAAGGGTAGCAAATTCCACAGGATTATACCCAGTTTCATGATCCAAGGAGGTGATTTCACACTAGGCGATGGAAGAGGTGGAGAATCAATTTACGGAGAGAAGTTCGCTGATGAGAATTTCATGCTAAAGCATACCGGTCCAGGTAGAGAAAAAACCCATCCCACCTGCCTTCTCTTCCAGTGGTGTGGATAGCTAGCACCCAATATAATCCTGAAGTTTGAACATATATTATGTTGTGAACAAAACGCTTGCTCTTTTGTACAGGGCTTTTGTCAATGGCAAATGCTGGTCCCGACACCAATGGTTCACAATTCTTCATCACAACTGTGAAGACTAAATGGTAATTCTATGTGCTTCCATGTGTACTTGAAAAAGCTAAGAATATCTCTAGAATGACTATCCGTTTCTGCTTGATGCATCACTTTCTTAATTTGTATAATTCCGGCACTTGTTGCGTTTGATTAGAGGAAGCGATTTTGGTTTGCTTTCTCGTGGAGACCAATAGTGCTTACAGTGAATGCCTGATTCCCACCGTTTTGGTGAGAGTTGGGCAGCGGCCAGACAACCGTAGTGATGGTATCCACAGATGGCGGGTTCATTCTGTCCTGTTTTTCTACTGATTCCATCTCACATTTCTTAAATTTCAATCATTTACCTTGTATAATTCTACATTTGTGCTCATTTAAAATAGTGCTCAACTACCGATTTCGTTAGTTTGATCTGAAGGCCTCTCCCGCAACAAGGAGGAGGTCCATTACCGCTTCTTTTTTAACAGCCATTGGTTTACACATGTATGGTTATCAAAGCTAAAGTTTGATTCCGTATTTGAATGTTTATAGGTTGGATGGCAAACATGTTGTATTCGGAAAGGTGCTGTCCGGAATGGATGTGGTTTACAAGATTGAAGCTGAAGGAAATCAGAGTGGCACACCCAAGAGCAAAGTCGTGATTGCCGACAGTGGTGAACTTCCTCTCTAGATGTTCCAGTCGTAGTCTCTCCAGTTACCGAGTGCCAATAACTGTTCCGATTTCTCCTTGATTTTCGTTTGTGTAAGACCGGTGAAGATGTTATAGCTCATGTACCGAGTGTGTTCTTACTTTAAGTTCGATTAACATCTGCTGAATGTTCACGTTATTTTCCCCAAAACCCAAAACCCTTCTTACTTGTAAGGGCAAGTTTCAAGTTTGCGATAACGGTAACCCTACTAGAAAGGACATTCATCTTTTAATCTTAGTAGTGTCACTATGCAATAAACGTTTGTCACGTATTTAAAAAGTACATTGCTAGGTCATGAGCTAGTGTCATAAGAGAATCTCTCATTTCAGAACTTTCCTTTTCGAATTATTTGGTTTACTGTTTTTCTTATTTAAAACAGAACTTTAAATCACTTATCCCACCTAAACAAAGAAAAGTGAATCAAGCAATGACGTCATTGCTTACTTGATTTACTAATGGCGGGCTTCACAAGGATTAGATATGGGTACACTGTCAAGGTGACGTATTGGTCAAATAACACAATGTTATATAGAATAAAATTAACATATCACACTATTATTTGAGTTGAAACGCCACCTTGATTGTTACTTGTGTACCCAATTCATCTAAAGTGGTTATGCAACTTAAGGACTGAGTTGGATTGCAATAATCATCAAAATATGAATTGCCTTATTTACAAAAACGATTCCTGCGCTCCTCATTTGTGCAGAAAAAATAAAGTGCGAAAATCATTTTCCACCATCGTAATAGCGAGCATCAACCATTTATGTTATGAATCTTGCGGTCACTTTTGTTTTTGGAATTTTTTACAATTACCAAATCCGCAATGCACTCACTCGTCATACTCACCCCCACACCCACCCACAAGTTTACCCTACACCCATTGACGCAGTCCACTCCTCCCCCCATGACATCAACATGCATGCATGCAGGCACATGTATGTATGATCATCTCAACATACATACACCTCATCCGTTAGTTGTGTGTGTACGTAAGCATTTACGTCATATCACACAACCAGGAACCCGCCACGTCATACCTTCCGCTTTATCCAACCACCGGCTGCCGTCCCCGAAACTCACTCTTTTGTCGTCTCCCTCTCCGCTGAGCTGTTCCTCACACCTGCGCGCTCTCTCTCTCCCTTCTCCACAGGTCCCACTCTCTCTCTCTCTCTCTCTCTCTCTCTCTCTCTCTCTCTCTCCGAAAGAAAAAAAGTCCCCGTTTCTTCTTCCTCCTCCTGCGATATAAAATCGAGCTGCAAACCCCAAATTCAAGCTCTTTTCACTCTCAAATTCCTTCTTTCTGAGTCCACTTCTCTCTCTTCTCAATCGAATTAAATTGAATAAAATAAATTTTCTTGCTTTTTAAGAGAGCCTCGGCTTCAGACGGCGGAGGATGTTATAGGCCGCCGGCCGCCCCAAGTATTCCTAATTGCATCCGTCGTGCTCTGCCGTTCACGTCTAGAGCTCCGCTGCCAGCTCCTCCATTCGATTACAAGGTATGTAATTTGGATTTGGATTGAGATTGGGATTGGGATTGGGATTGCAATCGGGGGTTGAATTTTGAGAATTTGTTCATTTCGGGGTTCGGATTTTGGGAATTTTGTTGAAATTGATGTTGATTTGAAATTCTCGTAGCTGAAATTGGTGTTGATTTTTTTTTGGGAATTTTGAAATTCGTGTTCGAAGTCTGAATTTTGATTGTCAATTTTTAAAATTGATCGTTGAGGTCTGATCATTTGGTATTGGAGTGAAGAAAATCAAGCAAATTTATTTGATATTTCAAATTTTTAATGGTAGAAATAGATAAATTGAGGTAAAAATGCCTGCTTGGTGGGGAAGAAAATCAAGCAAGAGCAAAGAGGAGCAAGAGAAGGCAGTCCAGCACAAAAACCCCTACTCTAACCGCAACAGCAGCAACTTTGTCAACAAATCTTCGGTCAGCAACGATATTAAGAAGAAGGAGAAGGACGAAAGGCCGAGGAGCTTCGACGAACACGTCACGCGGGGATCACCAAGAGCCAGCAGGGAATTGGCTGGCGTTGTCGGTGTCTCTTCTTCTGGCTTTTTGGGTTTTGACTCGGATGGCAGTGAGAGAGCAGCTCATCCCCTGCCTCGCCCATCGGTGTCGTCCCTGCAGGGTTTGGCTTTGGGAAATGATCAGGTCAATGGGTTAGGATCTGGGTCCGCCTCTGTTTCAAGTGTCAGCTCCTCTGGCTCCGACGACCCACTGGTTGCTCAATGTGGTGCTGCTTCTAGCTATAGGTTAGTCTTTTTCTCCACAAAACCCCTGCGGTTTCGGATTAGACAATTTTCTGTTCTGTGCACAATTTGGGACTTTTGAATGTTTTTACATTCAATTCTAATCAATTCAATTCAATTCATGCTCGTAAGAACTTTAATTCAAACGTTCAGTTCCAATCCATACATATATGGTTTAACTGTTTCATCTGTGAATTTATTGGATTCGTAGATACTTATTGGATATTAATTTAGTAATTAGTTAGCTAAATACTCTTGCCTTCTCCATAGAGTTTTTGCTGTCCGAATTCGAGTGATTGTCTGCTACATTTCTGAGTTATTAACCTTTTGAGCTGATATTTCCTTTCCAGACTGGTTTTGGGTTTTCCTGTCTTAGTAGAGTTTGATTTTCTTTTTATGGGGCCACTTTTTTTTTAGCATTAACCACATCATGTTGATTAACACAGTTATTTTAAGCTATAAATCTTACTAGAATATTTATGGACGTGCTTGTTTATGGTAAGAATTAGGACTTGGTACTATCAGTAGTCATACATAATTTGTATTAAGTATGATGATTGGGATCATTGGCTTTATTCTTATATTTCCACAAGATGATGATTGGGATCATTGCAATATTTTTTTGATTATATCTGAGATATAAAGAATAATTGTATGCTTCTTATCAATGTCCTATATTATTCACAGATGTATTGGTGATCCAAAGGTCAGCATGATGCCGAAAAGCCCAGGTCCTAGGTCTAGGGGGCCAACTAGCCCAACATCTCCTCTTCACCCACGATTGTGTCCCATGGGTTTGGAGTCTCCAACTGGAAAGCAAGAAGATGGGAAAAGTGTGTGTCATCCTCTTCCGCTCCCTCCAGGTTCCCCAACTAGTCCTTTTGCCTTGCCCAGCAGTAGACCTAGTCCAGTCACTGAAAACACAGCTTGTGCACTATCAAAGTGGAAGAAGGGAAAGCTTTTAGGAAGAGGGACCTTTGGTCATGTTTATATTGGGTTTAACAGGTAAATGTGAATTTTACTTTTCTGGTGGATTGATTAATAAAAAAAAAGTGAACAGTCATGTTTGTTAGTTTTGGGAACTAAATTCAATGTTTATTCTTTGGGCAAGGGAAACAAAAACTTCAGGCACAAAAATGATTGTATGTATGCATGCACTCACTTTGCACATTACCCCCGAATTTATAAAGGAAACAAAATGGATTCCAAAGTGAGGGCACCAAATAATTGTTTGGCAATAATTGGAGTGCAGACAAGATGTCCTTTTACTATGTATATGTATTCCTTTTCCTAAACTTTTGTTTGTGACATTGACAGTGAAAGTGGGCAAATATGTGCAATAAAAGAAGTCAGGCTTGTTACAGATGATCAATCATTAAAAGAATGTCTTAAGCAACTGAACCAGGTAACTTTGTCCAGCTACCTTGAAAATATCAGGCATGATGCTTTGCTCCAATTGAGTTGGTATTTCGAGCTGTCACTGAGCATTTACAGTAAATTTACATCTTTCGAAATCTCTTTATCTGATTGCTGGTGCAGACTGGTTTGCATCTAACTTTGTATTGTTGACAGGAGATAAATTTGCTTAGTCAGCTCTCACATCCAAACATTGTTCGATATCATGGAAGTGAATTGGTGAGAGTTAATATACTGCTTTAAATGCTGATAAACATGCGTGTCCATTAGCAATAAAAAACATGTGCACATTACCTGAACACATACATTGGTGTGGGGATAGAAAAAGAGAGTGATGGGTTATTTATTTTCAATTGATTTGGTTTGTTGTTGATTTGGACGTTGCATCATGGCTTACTGTCAAGTTTGGCTTGTCCTTTTCAGGGTGAAGATGCTCTCTCTGTTTATTTGGAATATGTGTCTGGTGGCTCAATTTATAAACTACTACAAGAATATGGCGCCTTTAACGAACCTGTGATTCAAAATTATACCAGACAGATTGTATCTGGTCTTGCCTACTTACACGAAAGAAATACAGTTCATAGGTGTGTGAGTTTTAATACCTGTAATGTCTTCATTTTCTTCCTTTCCCTCAATTTCAATCATATGGTGGTCCGGCATATGAATACTTGTCTTCCCTTTTTTCTTGGTCGGCAATATTTCATACTAAATCTTTTTTTTTTTTTTTTTCTTTTTTTGTTTTCAGAATCCTACAATAATTTTCTGTTATCTTTTACACTGATAATGATTTATTAAATCTTTTTAATTAAAGTTCTGGCGGCTGTGTTCTATCTTTATGATCTTTTTACTAATTTGTTTTTCCTTGCAGGGACATTAAAGGAGCAAACATATTAGTGGGTCCTAATGGTGAAATCAAGTTGGCAGACTTTGGCATGGCTAAACATGTAAATTGCATCTCATCCTCTGCACATTGAATTCTTAGTGAAGTATTGAAGGCATAGAATTGCTAATTTATCTCAAACATGAATTTGTCTAGGAAGAGTAAGAATGAAACTTTTAAGTGTTAACTATACGATATGTCTTGGCATTCAGGAAACCAGGACAAAATAATGTCACAAGGATCTGTTTTCATTGTGACAACCATAAGACGTTTGCTAGAGGGAAAAAATTGTAAGGTTTTATGGAAGGTGGTCTGTTGGCTATTTATCAGGTGCTTTGGTTCAAGAGGATATTTTAAAATTACGAAGGAGATAGAGTGGAAGTTATTCGGGATAAAGTAAGATCGGACTGCACTTTGGGCTTTGGTTTCTCCTCAATTTCGGGAGTTATCATTTTCTATAATCTTTGCACATTGAAGTGCAGTTAATAAGTTTCCTCATTGTATTTTTTGCTGTTCTTAGCTGGGTGTTAGGAATTGGCTTATTGTTCTGTATTTCTTATCTGCAGCTTTGTGCTTTAATACGTTACTAATAAGTAATAATGAATGTTTCTTGTTTCTTCGAAACAAAATAAAGAGAGAAATTGTGTCAACGAACTTGAGCACATAGATATAAGATGCATATCTAAGAGTGGTATTCGACTAAGGAAATCGAAGAATAGTATGTAATTGTTAGTTTTCCTAGTCGGTTTTCTCAATCAATTTTGAGAAATCTGATGATTTTATGTTCTGATTCAGATCACAAATTGTGCTTCAATGCTGTCATTCAAGGGAAGTCCTTATTGGATGGCCCCAGAGGTACTCTCATCTCTCTCAACATCTTTTTTTCCCTCTCTTTTCCTTTGTATTGTTTGCATCCAGTTCCCTGTGGTGGAATTTTCAGTTCATGAAATGTTAATTTCAGGTTGTAATGAATACAAATGGCTATAGCCTTGCCGTGGATATATGGAGCTTAGGATGTACAATTCTCGAAATGGCAACTTCTAAACCTCCTTGGAGCCAGTATGAAGGGGTGCGATATACTGTTCAGAACCTATTACTTTACAAATTTTATTTGTTATCATCAGCTACAAAGTGTTTGTTGCACCAAAGCTTGTTTCCTTACATCGGGTTCAACAGGTGGCTGCAATTTTTAAAATTGGAAACAGCAAAGATATTCCACATATTCCTGATCATCTTTCAAATGATGCAAAGAGTTTTGTGAGGCTATGTTTGCAACGGAACCCATCAGAGCGTCCTACGGCTTTTGACCTTCTAGACCACCCATTCATTAGAGAGCAAACAACGACAAGATCTTCTAACATGAAAGTAACCAAGGATGCGTTCCCATATGCTTTTCATGGAAGCAGGACACCGGTAAAGCTTATTAACTTTCTACTGCATATTTTAAGCTTTTAGTTTGTGGGCCAAAATATAGAAAGAAGTGTGGAATTTAGTTTCTTTACTGGCCTAGTCTTTAAGCGCTTGAGACTATTTGGAGAAGTTACGCTGCATTTTGTTGAACGATTTATTGACATATCATCATCCATGTTATGTCTTGAATCGTTAAACTAGTATTTCCGACAAGTCTTAATCAAACCTAAGCGCTTGCCCAACCTTATTTCTTTTTAATTTCTTTCTTTGAACAGCCAGTATTAGAGCTACACTCCAACAGAACAAGTTTCACCCTGAGTGATACAGATCACACTGTGAAGCCCACAATGGCAACTTCAAGAGATCTGCGGAGCCCCAGGTAAATATATTCTACCCGTCATATCCTCATCGATGTAGTCTGTCGAACATGTTATAATGTAAAATGACTCTTTATCAATCTTGTATATGCAGAGAGAATATAAGGATGATTACATCTTTGCCTGTATCTCCTTGTTCAAGCCCCTTGCGACAATATGGAGCAACACACAAGAGCTCTTTTCTTTCTCCCCCTCACCCAACTTACGCGATGATGGGACAGAGTAGTTACAACTTGAGCGACTACTCATCGTATAACAAGCTAAGTCCAACTACGCCGTACACTCTTGATCCTTGGCAGGAAACGACACTACTTAATGCCCAGACGCTCGGCAGTTCACCAAGAACAAGACCCATTGGAATGTAAATATACCATAGAGAACATAAATTGTCCTGTCTCCCCAGCGGTGCCTGATGAACCAGAGCCGCACCACTTTGGAAGGAAATAGTTGGTCACGCGCTCCCCTGCTTAGCAGTTTTGGTTGTTTATGTTGCTTTCCGTTGGGAGAGTGACTTGGTTGTTACGTAAAAGGGAATTTGAAAACGAGGGAATTGATGGACAACACTAAACATGCGTTGCATGGGGAAGATAGTGGACTGTGATCCTGTAACGACATACTATTCGGATTGTTGTAAATGGAAGCCGGTCCCTTGTGTAACATTTCATGTTTTATACTGATTGTTCATAACGAAATATACAGAAGCCTGAATCACATCGTTTACGTGGGAGGTTGGCAGCGGCCGGCCAGATAACCGGAGTGATGGCATCCATGGGTAACGGGTGGGTTCATCGTTCCTTTTTCCGTGTGTTCAAAACTAAAATTTTGGCTCGTGTTTGGCTGGTCGAAGCTGAAAATTGAATTTCTAGATTTAGTGACCGAATATGAATTTAGCCAAAGCATAGTGACCAAAGATCCATGTCACTCCTTTGAAATTGTGTACCATTTGGTCCTTGACGTCAGCTCCGTTAACGTAATTTGTAGTTAAGGATGAAGGTAATTTCATTGTACAAAACCAACCCTATTTGAAATACTGCGAACGTTTCATATTGGTCCCCTCCAATGAAATGAAACTCCCAAACAAAAATTAATGTTTACAAGAGTTTCTGGAAGGTCGGATCAGTTATGAAAGCAGTTGATCACTAATTTTTACCATTTACTTGCCAAAACCAAACAGAAAGACAAATTCTAATTTTGTTAATCTCAACATTCAGTTTCTTTAACCATTAATAACTCGTTTGGTCATTACTAAACCAGTGCTCTCATTGTTCTTCATTCGTTCGTTTGATCTTGTGTTCTTGTGTGGTTCGATCTGTTTGTGCAGGAGGAAGGCTGACTTACCTCTTTCGAGGAGGAAAGAGTCTAAGGCTTCAAAGAGTTATCGCCTTATCTGCGCGACATGGCTGCGGTCAAGGAAACACGGCAACCACTTTTGGATAATAATGCAGGAGGAGAAGGATCAAGTTCAATAGCCCCAAAGCCAAAACAACCAAAAACCCCCGCACGAAAAGCCATTAGAAAGACATTCAAAGGCACAGCCCATTTGTCTAATCTTCTCCCCACGGGGACCGTCCTCGTGTTCCAAATGTTCTCCCCCGCTTTCACACGCCAAGGGAAGTGCCCGGCCGTCCTCAATCAAACCATGACTGTGCTCCTCCTAACTTTCTGCAGCCTTACCTGCTTCCTTATGCGCTTCACTGACAGCTTGAGGGACGAAAGAGGCAAGGTCCGATACGGGTTGGCGACATCTAAAGGGTTGTGGATTCTCGACGGTTCCAAAATCACACTTGCGCCGGAGGAGGCAGATAAATATAGGGTAAAGTTCAGAGATTTTTTCCATGCCTTCATGTCCGTACTTGTATTTGCTGCGGTGGCAATGTTTGATAAAAATGTCGTCAATTGCTTCTACCCCAAGCCTTCGGAGGAGGCCAGGCAGCTTTTGGTGGCGTTCCCTGTCGGAATGGGTATCGCATGCAGCTTGTTGTTTCTTTTATTCCCCTCCAGACGCCATGGAATTGGCTTCCCTCTCTCTCGAAGCTAGCTTGAGAGAATAAAAGTCTTGGAAAATTTAATACATTTTTCTTAAAGTGTGTTATTATCATATATGTCACATATATGAAAATTCTTGGAAATTCTTTCTATTAATTCTTTTCTGATCAAGATGTATGGATACACTCGTTCGAACCCTCAACTCTCCTTTCTTGGTTCATTGATATTGAATCAATCAAATCATCAGATTATAGATTATAAGTTCATAATTCTAGCCCATTCCAATTTTAGGTTGGATGCTTGCTTACAATTTAGATTCCGTTATTATATGTTTGTTCTAGTTTTTGTTGATCCATCCGCACCTTCTAGTACGGTTATGTTGTTACAACTTCACTCCATTCACCAGCCCTGCCTTCGGCATCCTTCTTAAGACCAGAGAGTTGGGTGAATAGAGGGGGGGAGCTCTCCATTCGTTCTGGCCAAGAAAAAAAACCGCAGCGCCAATACATATGTGAGAGATTATTTGAGGTACTGAAACCATTAAAAGAATCCCCAATAACTTATTTGGCACTGTACCAATGATTCCTATTCAAAGAGTGCATAACCGCAAGAATAAGCTCACGCTATCTTAATGCAGATCAAAAGCAAGGTTTTCAGGTTGTCCTTCTCCTTTTTCCGATGAAAACTTCAATAAAAATAACAACGGTTAATTTATGTTTCTTCTCCCAGCTCAAAATTTAAGCTCGGATGTCTTGCGTATGGTCACATGATTGAGTTCAAGGGCACTTGGAGCAACATCGCCAACAAAGCAGGTTGTCTTCACATCCTCAACCGGGTTGAGGATGTGAAGAACGGAAGCTCTATGGGGCGAAAATGAAATTTTCAGTATGATAACAAATGGTGTGTGAGCATCAAGGTGGATGGTACTTAGAAGAATGCAGTTTTTCCTAATGTTGCTAGTACCGAGTCTTAACAAGGATTCCCGAACTTCGGGACGGGATTTTGAAAAATTAAAACCTAACCGAAATTTCAGTTTTTCCGAACTTCTGTATTCTAATTTTTTTTTAATTTTTCGGTACAGTTTGAACTTCTTTATTCTAGATTTTTTTTTTCGATCGAGTGAGAGTCCTGTGAGAATCGGAGAGAGAGAGAGGGAGAGTGAGTCTGTGAGTGAGTGGGTGAGTGAGCTTAGAGAGGTCAGTTGAGAGAGAGAATGAGTGAGTTCGATTGAGAGAAAGAGTCGATGACTCACTAGTGTGATGTGGGTGTTGTGTGGGTGTGTGGTATGGTGGGATTCGAAGACGGAAAATATGGAGGGGAAGAGAGATCAAGAGAAATCAGCATAGTATGAGAGAGCAAAGTGAGGTGAGGTAGAGAGAGGGCTTCATTCGAATTCAACAATTGAGATTCAATCTCAACCAAATTCGACAGCGGTAAATAATTTTAAATTATATTTTAAAAAATAAATTATAAATATTACACATATTTTTATTTTGGTTTACGGTCTTACCGAAAAAGCTAATATTTCATATCGAATCATGTACAAAAAAAATTCCGTATCGGTTCGGGTTTGGGTACCCAATATTTATGTACTTTCAGTATGGTCCTTTTTCAATATTTTGGTATGACTTCGGTTGGTCCGGTAATTTTCGATATTTTTTACACTTCTAAATTGTAGTTTGGACCATGAATTAAAAATTATTGGCGACACAACAATTTTGGCTATTCCACTAAAAAATATTTTCCAATATTGAAATTTCCTTTTACCCTTTTCGATATTCCTTTGGGATAATTAAAACACACTCATCCACCGTGGGATGGGATTAGATCCAACGGGTCAGGATTGCCCAGAACACTTATAAAGAACTCCACGCGTAGGCTCGTCCGAGTTCAAAGTTGAAACACACAAACACTGAATTTATCCAACACGGTTTCCAACTTCCTGTGGCGGCACAGCGGCGGTGCTCCGCGAACAACTCGGGACAAAATCTATCTACTTTTCCTATCCATCGTAGGATATTTCAAATTATTCTGAACCCCTAACCACGTGACTATTTTGCCCACCCAACGGCTACTTTCGTGAAACTCGCCCAGCCGTAGATGAGATTAGATCAAACGGCAGAGACATGGGAAGAAAAAGTATATAATCACCTAGCCCTGTAAGGAAAGATCTCATACGATTTCGCACCAAAAGAGAGAGTGTCTGAAACAACAGAGAAAAACCCTAACGAGGTCTTAACAATGGAGGAGGGTTATGGTGGTATTGTGCCGCTGGGTTTTTATGAAAATCAGCTGCTGGGTTCTAACGGAATGCCGCTGGGTTTTCGGTTTCATCCGACCGATCAGGAATTGATCAGTTTCTTCCTTTACAACAGATTCCTCCACACAGAGTACTGCGAGAATTTAATCTACGAGTTCGACCTCTTCGGCAAGACTCCACCGTGGGTGGTTTGGGAGAATTTCGGTGGACCGGGACTTGAAGATCAAGATTTGTACTTCTTCTGCCAACTCAAGCCTAGAAGCCAGGCGCGCATCAAACGTGAAATTGACGCCGGAGGTACGTGGAGCGAATCCAATTCCAAGCCGGTAAAGGATTTGCAGAATGAAAAAGCTATTGGGAAAAAGAGGAATTTGCGGTATGAGAAAGAAGGGTGTGAGCATGACGGTGAATGGCTCTTGGAAGAGTACAGCATTCTTCCTAGTGTATTTGGTGGCGCTGATGACTCCGATCACGAAATTGGGAAGGTAGTTCTCTGCCGACTTAAAAAGAATTCTAGGAGCGGAAACAAGAAGAATTTTTCGAATTCAACCCAACAAGTGAACGAGCAGCCGGCGAAAAAGAGAGCAAGAAAAGAAGTCAAGGAGAAGCCGGCGAAAAAGAGATCAAGAAAAGAAGTCAAAGAGAAGCCAGCAAAAACAAAGGCAACAAACAAAGTGGGTTCGCAAAATACTACTAGCGTAATCACCCATACCATTGAGGAACTACAAAACTGCCCTAGTACTAGCAGTGCTCCCTTCCTGCCCTTCGATGAAAGCAATTACAAGATGATTAGTGACGCTATTAATCATGATCAGCAGTGCATAAGCAACATTGACGGTAGTACGATGCTTGCAAATTTTTCCGGTCATGATTATGTGCCGAAAAGCTTGGTCAGCGAAGGTGATGATTCGCTTTTGAAGGATGAAGATTTACTTTTTGATAACGGTGAAGATATGTTTTTTGACCTCGACGATTTGTTCGCACCATTAGACTGTGAATCTGCGTGGTCACAAGAGAAGCTGCCTCAGATTGACGAAACTCAAGTGCCTTTGCCGTTGGATGGGATGAATTGTTGGAACGATTGTTTGTGGATGGGCAATTGTGTTCAGTGATCAGTAGAGGAGACGTTCTGTCAAACTTCGACAGCGAGAGATTGTAATTTCTTTTTTAATCTATCTAAAGGTGTTTATATATAAGATGTAATTGTGACTACGGCTACGGCTGTCTAATTTCGATGGCTAGAGATTATAATTTCTTGTGTAGTTTATATAATATAAGATGTTTCTTTGATTTCTTGTTATTGAGTTAATTCCTGAGTAAATTCTTTATAATGATGAACGTGTAATTGATTGGTTAAGCACACAAAATCATTGGCATTACACTGAAAGAATCCATGGCGGTAAATATTCCGTCGGAGCCAATAAAGGATCGCTCACATGTTTGTTCGGAAAAGTTTAATCACATAAATATAGAACCAATTCAGATCCAAAGGACAAATGAGAGATTATGAAGAGAAAAATGAAATCATAACATCCCCCACAGAATTCAAAGACATCCCAGTAACAGGACCACCACGTCTCTTGAGACAATCCATGTTGTTGCACCTTGGTACATCTGTTCACGCAGAACTCAGACATCCAGGCACATTTGTCGTTGCTAATGTCCTTTGAGGTTGCTTGGAATTGAAGTTTCAAATTTACCTCCCGTGGGCTTTCTTAAATCAACTCATCCTAATCGGACCACTGTCTGATTGTTAATCTAACAATGTGTAACGATCCCGTCATCATCATGACCTGCATTTTTTTTTATTTTTTTTTATGTTTTTGTCAAACGATAGTTTTGAGTCCATCTGATTCTATGCAATCCCAATTTAAGACGCGTGAAACACCACATTTTACACTTGTATTTCCATGTACTTGCTAAAGAATCAATGCTAGTGACCGGCATAACCTACTCTACTATCTACAGATATCTTCCCAGCACTGTGAGAGCGAGGGCTTCACTTGAATAATTTTAACGGTACAAAATTCCAATATTGAACGCTGACTTCGGTGTCAAACACCAAAGGCCGCCGTGCAGCCGCTAATAAGAAAAAGTAGAAAATCACGACTCCTATTTTTTTCATGTTAAAATACGAACATTTCAAACTTCCATTAGTACCCTTTTCCAGATTCCATTAGGATAATTAAAACACAATCATCCACCGTGGGATGGGATTAGATCCAACGGGTCAGGATTGCCCAGAACGCATAAGAACTCCAAGCGTAGGCTCTTCCGAGTTCAAAGTTGAAACGCACAAACAGTGATTGTATCCAACCCGGTTTCCAACTTCCAGTGGTGGCACAGCGGCGGTGCTCCGCGAACAACTCGGGACAAAATGTGTATACTTTTCCTTACCACGGTGGGATATTTCAAGTTCTTTTGAACCCCTAACCACGTGACTATTTTGCCCACCCAACGGCTACTTACGTCAAACTCGCCCAGCCGTAGATGAGATTAGATCAAACGGCAGGGACATGGGAAGAAAAAGTATATAATCACCTAGCCCGGTAAGGAAAGATCTCATACGATTTCGCACCAAAAGAGAGAGTGTCTGAAACAACAGAGAGAAACCCTAACGAGGTCTCAACAATGGAGGAGGAGGGTTATGGTGGTATTGTGCCGCTGGGTTTTTATGAAAATCAGCTGCTGGGTTCTAACGGAATGCCGCTGGGTTTTCGGTTTCATCCGACCGATCAGGAATTGATCAGTTTCTTCCTCTACAACAGAGTCCTCCACAGAGAGTACTGCGAGAATTTAATCTACGAGTTCGACCTCTTCGGCAAGACTCCACCGTGGGTGGTTTGGGAGAATTTCGGCGGGCCAGGACTTGAAGATCAAGATTTGTACTTCTTCTGCCAACTCAAGCCTAGAAGCCAGGCGCGCATCAAACGTGAAATTGACGCCGGAGGTACGTGGAGCGAATCCAATTCAAAGCCGGTAAAGGATTTGCAGAATAAAAAAGCTATTGGGAAAAAGAGGAATTTGCGGTATGAGAAGGAAGGATGCGAGCATGATGGTGACTGGCTCTTGGAAGAGTACAGTATTCTTTCCAGTGTAGTTGGTCGCGCTGATGATTCCGATCACGAAATTGGGAAGGTGGTTCTCTGCCGACTTAAAAAGAATTCTAGGAACGAAAACAAGAAGAATAATTCGAATTCAACCCAACAAGTGAGCGAGCAGCCGGCAAAAATGAGAGCAAGAAAAGAAGTCAAGGAGAAGCCGGCGAGAAAGAGAGCAAGAAAAGAAGAGAGCGAGAAGCCGGCGAAAACAAACAAGAGAGCAAGAAAAGAAGAGAGCGAGAAGCTGGCGAAAACAAAAAAGAGAGCAAGAAAAGAAGAGAGCGAGAAGCCGGCGAAAACAAAGGCAAGAAACGAAGTGCGATCACCAAATACTACTAGAGTGATCACCCATACCATTGAGGAACTACAAAACTGCCCTAGTACTAGCAGTGCTCCCTTCCTGCCCTTCGATGAAAGCAATTACAAGATGATTAGTGACGCTATTAATCATGATCAGCAGTGCATAAGCAACATTGACGGTAGTACGATGCCTGCAAATTTTTCCGATCATGATTATGTGCTGACAAGCTTGGCCAGCGAAGGTGATGAGCCACTTTTGAAGGATGAAGATTTACTTTTTGACAACGGTATGTTTTTTGACCTCGACGATTTGTTCGCACCATTAGACTGTGAATCTGCATGGTCACAAGAGAAGCTGCTTCAGATTGACGAAACTCAAGTGCCTTTGCCGTTGGATGGGATGAATTGTTGGGACGACTGTTTGTGGATGGGCAATTGTGTTCAATGATTAGTAGATCGACGTATAGGTGACGACGAGCTGTCTAATTTCGACGGCGAGAGACTGTAATTTCTTTTTTAGTCTATATAAAGATGTTTATATATAAGATGTAATTGTGATCACTACGGCTGTTTAATTTCGACTGCTGGAGATTGTAATTTCTTTTGTAGTTTATATAATATAAGATGTTTCTTTGATTTCTTCTTGTTATTTAGTTAATTCCTGAGTGAATTCGTTATGATTGGTTAAGCACAGAAACTCATTGGCATTACAGTCAAAGAATCCATGGCGGTAAACATTCCGCCAGAGCCAATAAAAGATCGACCACAATGTTTGATCGGAAAAGCTTAATCACGTAAATGTAGAATCCAAAGGACAAATAAGAGATTGCATAATTATGAAGAGCAAAATGAAATCATTATATTCCCTACAACATTCAAAGACGTCTCATTAACAGGACCAACACGTCGCTTGAGACAATCCATGTCGTTGCACCAAGGCACATGTGTTCCTGCAGCATTCAGACATCCAAGCACATTGTCATTGCACCATGCCGTTGCTAATGTCCTTTGAGGTTGCTTGGAATTGAAGTTTCAAATTACCTTCCGTGGCCTTTCTTAAATCAACTCATCCTGATCTGACCACTGTCTGATTGTTAATCAAACAATGTGGAACAATCCTGTCATCATCATGACCTGCATTGTTGTTGAGTCCATCTAATCCAAAGCAATCCCAATTTAAGACGCATGAACACCGCATCTTACGCCTGTATTCCCATGTACTTGTTAACGAATCGCTGCTAGTTACCAGTCATAACCTACTTTACTATCTACATCTGCCCAACACTGAGAATCACCGATTTGTCCCTAATTCCCTATACGCAAGAAGTCACCAAAACAAGATTAAGAAAATCATTAGTAGTCTTCTCACAGACTTCTCCATACATCAAAATAAGGCCGAGTTATCAATGTAAAACCTAGAGAATTAGGGACGAAGGAGATTAAAGAGATGCAATGCAACACTCTGAAGGCATATGGATGACACGATAACTGATCTCACCAAAGCGAACAATATCTCAAAGCACATTATAATAAAATTTCACCAGTACAGAACTACACCCATCTTTAGTTTCTTATGCACCCAACATGTAGGGTATTAACTTTAACCGTTTTCATCTCCAATTTAAAGCCTAGATCAAAGGGACATAGTTACATAAGAAACAAACAACTTAGGACTGATCATCATACTATTCTGCTAACTCATTTCAGATGAGAAAGCATTGAAGGATAACGAAAAATACGACATAAAAAAATTGGATCCTTTTTGTAGACTAAGCTATGTTCATAGGATCATTATTCCATAAAAACATTATAAACCGATATAATATCGCTATAAACAATGGGTTAGGAAAGTTAAACCCAGTATCTGACCAACTGGCTTGGACACGAGAACCCTTGTGCTCGCCCATCCTGTCTTGACCACTAGTTGCATAACGTGAAGGAGCCATCCTACTCAATTGCCAACAGTGCAATTGTACAGAACAAAGCAATTGAAACGCAATGCACAATCCATCCACATTACAACAAAGGAATTAAAATGCTGACAGTTAAAAAAAAAAGAGTACAACAAGGTGAATTTAAACAGGAGAACATAAATACCTTGTAATATCTGCGGGTCGAAGACAAGCAATCCCGCAGCCTTCATCCTTTTACAACAAATACCAAACAAACACTGAATTAAGCAAAGGTTTTCGACATTTCACAACATTACCAAACATTAATGTCTACAACAATGCAGGCATTTCATCAAACAGTTTACAGGCAGACTCTCAAACACAAACAGAACACTCACAACGTCATCGAAATCACTGCGATTCAACGCCCGACTTCACCGGATCCAATTTCCGATCCCCTGTCTCGCCGCTGTCGTTGTCGTTCTTGGCGGGGGTTATGGCGGCGCGGTGCTGGTGGACAATGCCGGAGAAATTGGCCGACAAATCGGAGTAAATCGAGATGACTTTGGAGATATTGGAGTTGATCTCGCGGATTAAGGAAACGTTTCTGGTGAGGTTGTCGGGGGCTCTGGACTGGTGGTTGTCGTTGGCCTGCTGGATCAAGGCGCGGTTCTGATCCAGTACGGACTGGACCTGCATAAAGCTCTTGCTCAGCGCCTCCCAGACCTCCACGTCGACCTCCTGATCCAATTCATCGTCGCTGCGTTTGCTCCGCTCCTCAGCCGCGCTCAGGCGGCGCTTGCGGGTTTTGTGGCGGTGGATGTTGGCTCTGGTGGCGTCGTCGTCCATGGCCGTCAACTTTCATCAAAGACGACGGTTTTCAAGTGTGGGCATTCATTTATACTCGATGATCAACCACTTTTTGGATTTATTTTTCCTCAGATTTTGTGTGTGGCTTTTTGAAGAAAACAAATGAAGAAATGTTAGGACAGGAAATGAATGGAATTTTGATCATTTGACCCGCCGACTTGTGAAGTGGCGGTTTTGGGGGGTTTCGCCGGTTGGCTGAGTGCAAGTGATTAAAAATAAAAAAAACTAATGAAATTGTTTTGAAATTTTTTGAGATTAACGATAAGGATAAAATAAAGAGTAAAGTGAATAATATCAAGATTGACTTTTCAGTGTAAAAATATGATTTTTCGTTTAAGTAAACAGTACCGGAAGCTTTTCGTTAAAGTTCTCTAAAAATAATTCGTAACAATTTTAAGGTTTTTTTGGTCGTGTAATATTTTTTTGTTTCTTTGAAAAATATTTTTCTAATACATACCATATCAACGGATAAGAGAATGAGTTAAGCTTTACAATGATCTAATCATAATAAATTAGTTCAAATTTGTCTTGGAGAGAATTAAATTTACCTCTCACTCGCAAGTGAAAAGGTTTATCACTAGAAATTAGTGCAAGTGACTTTTTTGGAAAATAAATAACCACTAGTACAAAAACATGTTTGCGCGACGAAAACTTGTGCGACGCAGCTAACTGCGTCGCGCAAAGTATGTTTGCGTGACGTTAAACACAAAACGTCGCGCAAAGTGCAGTCACGCAAAGGCCATTTGCGCGACGTTTTGTGCGTCCCGCAAGATTTTGGTGCTAAAGAAAGTAAGTTTTACCGCTTTTTCTGTTGACTTTGCGTGACGCAGGGTTGCGTGAGTCGCGCAAAACAGCTTTGCGCGACGCACGTGAACTTACGTCGCGCAAAACATCTTTGCGCGACGCCACATACGTCACGCAAAGTCAACGACTTTTCTTTCCTTTACTTAATCAGTTTGGGTGGTAGAAACTGCAAACTAGTTGCAGCAGCTACCTCCCTCCCTCATCTTTGTTCTAAACGTTCTCCAATTCTCTCCGTTCCTTAATCTATTTGTATCCGGTAAGCAATTTGATTTTGTATATGCAACTTTGAATTGAGAATTCAAACTAAAACTACTAATTTGATTTTGTACAGGATTTTTGTATACAATTATCATTGAAGAACGAATTTGAAGGTATTTTTTTCATATTGCATATGGGATTTTTGTATATGTACCTTTGGTTACTTGCTATGCCCTTTTTTGGTAATGGTGGAGTTTTAAGAGATTGAATTTTGATGTAATCTTTATTAATTTTACCTATTAAAAGGAGTGAGATTGTAGATATATTGTTGAAGACTTGTTTGGGCTTCATTTGAATACTTTATCGAGGTTAACTTATATATTTACATAGAAGAAATTGTAAGAAATGTTGGTTTCCCCTTGAAATTTCCTTAATTTGTGCTATACGGTTGAATTGAGGGTAAATGCCCACTTTCGACCCATCCCTCTCTCCCTTACAATTTCCTTAATCATGTTTATTAATATATGATATGAAGTGGTTGAACTTTGAACAAATTGTGTTTCAATTAGACATTATATATTTGGTTTTTTTTTCGTTAATTTTTTAGTGGATTTTGGAGATTTTATGGATTTCAGGATTCAATTACTTTCCATTTTTCATATTTAGTCACCAAGTAGTTGAAGTAGGAGTGCTTTGTTGTTGACCAATTCAACTTGGCTATCGTTTTCTTTTGAGTTTTGGTTCGACCTTTTGAGTTTTTTTAAATATAACTTTGCGCAACGCTAGAGTGAGCCAATGCGTCATGCAAAGGCTGTTTGAGTTTTTTCTTCTTTTTTTTTCAGACATTTTGCATGTACATTCATATACTTTATAATTAAATACTTTTTCTTGGTTTATTATTTATTTTTTAGAATTTAATTACAATATGTATTAAAACATAAACCAAAAATATTTTTGTCAAAAAAAAAAAAAAAGTGTTTGCACGACGAAGAAGTTCCATAGGTCACGCCAAGTGTCTTTGCGCGACCTCTGGGATGCGTCAGGCAAAGTATCTTTGCGCGACGTCATGTATACGTCATGCAAAGTATCTTTGCGCGACGTCGAGAGACGTGTGTCACGCAAATTGTATTTGCGTGACGTCATGTGCGTCACGCAAGGTGTTCTTAATACTTTCCCCGAGTATAAATACTTTGGTTTAGGAGAATAGGCTTGATTCAATGAGATTTGGATTCATGAGTTATAGCCATCTGAGATAGGCAATAGTGTTTGCATTCTTTAGAAAAAATTTAGGAGCTACAAAACTATGCTTTAAATTTGAGTTTTGTGATTACTATTTTTGTTCTTTATCTTACTAAAATTTTGGTAAACTTTCAGCAACTCTTGCACAGCGAAATGACTCCCACCACCCAACAAACGCAACTGCTGCAATTTCAATTGCAGTTCTTGAAGAAAGGTAAGCCTATGTTCTGTACAAAGTCTTGGATTTTTTTATATGGGGTTTTATTTTTTTGTGCTTTTTTTTTGTTCTCTTGAGAATATTAATATTGTTGAGTTATTAAATTCAACTATTGCATAGGTTAAATTTTACTTCAAATTGTAGTAATTGTCATACAAGTTTATATTTTTGTATAGAATTGCAGACGGTTTGAATTTTGGATGGAGTTTAGAATATTTGTAAGTTGGTTCTGTTGTGGGATCTCCATGTAGCAAATTTATCCTACTTTGTATTTCTAAAATCGTAGGTTAGTTTGTCTATTGTAGCTATATAATTCTTCCATGTTTTTCAGATCATGGAGTGAGTTTCTCATGCTGAGATTGTAACCCAATCAATAAGTAAGTGAAACACAGAAGTTCTATATCTCATGTTAGTTTTGATCCATTTCTAAAAATCCTATGCATGGTACAAGAAAAACATTTCTTTGCTGCAAAGAAGAGTAAACTACTGAACAACAATGTCAAAAGTTGGGACCTAGAAAACAAGATATTTGCAACAAAAAAAAAAAAAAAAACGAAAAAAAAAAAGGGAAATCTAATGATCAAATTCAAGAAATATTTAATCTCACAAAATTTTAAGCCAATCAGTTACGCAGCCAAATCAAATTCTATGAAATTCTAGCAAAATACAACCCCAATAGAACACAAATGAACGATAAAAAATACGAAATATCAACAACCAAATTCGGTAAAATAACAAACCACAGCGAAAAATCAAATATTTGGCGATGAATAAGATAATTTTTTACTGCGTATTATACTACATGGATGTAAATAAGATAATTTTTTCATATCAATTGTTCTTTATAGAACATAGGGATGTAAATAGATTTTGATATGGAACTGGAAAGAAGAATACCAAATGAAGCACTTATTTGTTGAGATATTTATTTTTGCTTGGAAAAAAATTGAGATATTGTGGATTATTATTGACATATATAAAACTATAAGCTTTTGATATTGGATTATTATCGACGTGTTCAAGGACGTTTACGTTCGACCTGGCAATGAGATCGCTGAGCAGCTTCATGTAAGTAGATGTAATTGTTATTATTCTTATATTTATGAATCGTTCAAATATTATTTATATTTTGTTATTAACCATTATACGTTTTTTCTTTATTATTACAGGCTACTATGGTGGAAAAGGGCGATGCTGTTCTCCAAGAAGCAACATCGCAACTTCCCTCGGAAACCCCGATGGAGGACGTCACTTTACCTGAGGATGTAGGTTTTCAGATCATGACTGAGGTCCTAGATCAAAATTACGGTCGTCGTCATGGCAAGGTTGTTCGGGGTATGGGGAAGGCGCGGGTTCGTGAGACGGGTGCCTCTTCTTCCAAATCGACCACAGGAGAGGTCAACGCCCTGAAGGAGGAAGTGACAACCCTTAAAGGTCAGCTTGCAGCCCAGGACGAGCAGATAAAGGCCCAAAGTGAGCAGATGATGGACCAGAGCGAGCATATAAAGGCGGAGAATGAGCAGATGAGGGCCCAGATGAGTATGATTGTACATGCCTTAGCGGTGTCCGGTCTCCAAATCCAGCTGCCAGCACCTGATCTTACTCCACCTTCGACCTCCCAGCCACCTCACCTACCCGATACCCAGTAGTTTTCAAACCTAGAAGACTACTTGTTGTAGTTTTTTCTTTTTTTGTTTAGACATCTTGTATGCACATTTTCATATATATGGTTTATAATTAAATTTTTTCTTGGTTTATTGTTTAGAATAATTAAAATATTTATTAAAAATTAAATCAAAAATATTAATAAATCAAAAATATTTTTGTCAAAAAAATTAAAAAAAAATAAAAACATAAAAAGTTTGCGCGACGAAGAAGTTCCATAGGTCACGCAAAGTGAGTTTGCGTGACGTAGGTATGTGTCACGCAAAGTGTCTTTGAGTGACGCCAACCAACTTTGCGTGACGCATCCTACGTCACGCCAACCCACTTTGCGTGACGCATCATACGTCACGCCAACCCACTTTGCGTGACGCACACCTACGTCACGCAAACCCACTTTGCGTGACGTACACCTACGTCATGCCAACCCACTTTGCGTGACGCATGTTACGTCACGCCAACACACTTTGCGTGACGCACACCTACGTCACGCAAACCCACTTTGCGTGACGCATGTTACTACGTCACGCAAAGACACTTTGCGTGACGCATGTAACTTCTTCGTCGCGCAAAACCTTCTTTCACAGGCGTGGCGCGACGCCTGTAGCGCGACGAAGGTTCGTCACGCAAATTTTTGCGCGATGTTTTTTTGACTTTGCGCGACGTTTTTTTGACTTTGCGCGACGAATGACCTACGTCACCCAAAGTATTTTTTGTACTAGTGAACGCACCCCTTTTGGTTTTTACGCTCTCATATGCTCCATGTTTAATGTTATCTGTTGTTTTCAATTTATTCAATACTACATGAAGCCACATACTACGTGTGTTTAAATATAAAAGAGATGTTTAAATATAAAAGAGAGAAGTCGGGGAGAAACGTGAGCGAGAGAAGGAAAATATAGTTTTGTTAATATGTAGTTTAGATGATGGTTTGGAATAAAAATGAAGCGTGAGAAACTAAAAATGGTGTGTGAAAACCAACTCGTTATGTCTTTACGTTGTAAGAAATTTTCACAAACACCTTCCAAACAAAAAATTTTGCATTGTGCACACGAGTACATTTTCACCATTTCAAAACCCTTAGACGACAAGATAAAAATTATGTGGGCTACACAAGGTTCTAAAAGACACTAGGCGCTAGTCAGGCCGCAGGCTAGGGCTAGCATCTAGACGGTTAGGCAGGCGCTTAGGCGGATTTAAGTAAATCTATTATATTTCGTGTAAATAAGTGTGTGTTTATACTTAAAATATATATAATTTCATCATAAACTACAAAATAGAATGACATATATATTATGAAGTATTGAAACATAATAAAAACATGGAGAACAAGTATATAATGTGTATTCATTTAAGTATTCAATACGTCTTTACAATTTATTGAAAAAAAAATAATGCAAAATGAAAGTGATATATTTTTTTGTCCAAGTGAGTCACAATCTAATTGGATGCCTAGGCGGATTTGTGCGGGCTAGGTGGTCTAGCCCGATACCTCAACAGGTGTAGGCATCATTTCTTAATTTTCAAATATTTAGACATTAATCAGGACAGTGACCAGTGACTATAACTTGTCTTCGAAAAAGCGGATGATACAACAGTTACATGGCAGAATTTTTCAAAGTTAATTGTTTGATGTGTTCGTAGAAAGGAGAGATGGTTGGCATCTCCCCTGACAGGGACGGGAACAGCTTCCGAGCTTACCTGTTACCACACATCCGGTTAAGGCCACCCAACCTTGTGGTGGATCTATAACCCAATTTTGTAGCCAAAAAAAAAGTTAATTGTTTGACGGAGTTTTGCTGCAAAAAATAAGATACAAAACTTTATCTAGCTAGTTTGGCTCGGTTTGATTTTTCATAAAGAAGGTCATCTTTCTTGCATCCCTACTCCAAATTTCTCTAGCTTAGTTTGATTCAAGCAAAAAGGGTACATCGATGGCCAGTAAATAGTTAACCTCTTGCAGGAGAACTGATCGAGGGCTTTCGTAATAAGTTTAGAGTTTGAGCACAAGCTTTTGTACTAATGCTCCAAAACTTGATTCCCTTGACGTCAAGCTGGATAGCTTGTTAAACTTTGCTTTGTTGATCTCCCGTACGGAGAACACAGCCTAATGGGAATTTGCAGATGTGGAAGATATTCTCCAGTATGCATAACAGCCTGATCTGCAGTGAGATCAGGCCAGCAAAAGCCATCTGCTTCAGCTGGCCTATTAGTGACCTGTTATTGAGAAGCACAAATTGTTAGTTCGTCTCAAGAACAGAAACTGTGAATGATACTATCAGATCCATTTGAAGGAAGGGATGAGATGGTGAAGTGCTTAAAAGAATGGTTAAAGATAGATATATATACCTCTGGTAAATCAAAGATTCGATGCTTAAATACCATCACGATCAGCTTCATCTTCATCCTTATCTTGGTTTTCTGAAGCTACCCCAGACATCTCTTCAGAACTAGGTTTCGTTTGTGCATGTATCACCTGTTGAATAAGAAGAGTATCCAAGATAACTCTAATGATCCCAAGAAGAAGAAAATAGAACACACTCTTAAAGAAAGCTCACAAAACAAACTAATTAGCAAAGCTTTTCTTATTTAGCTCTAGGCTTTGTATTTCCTTGGATGATTTACAATGCTTGAGAACTTGGGTATTTATAGCAAACCAAATGAATAAACTAAGATTATTTATTACCACACAAAACACATTAATTTCACCTAATTTATTTTTATTCAACCATGCCTAACATTGCCTAATTTTCCATACCTAACTTTGACATTGATTTTCAACATCTTTGACATTGATTTTCAACACTCCCCCTCAATGTCAGCTCTCATTCTTTGCACTGTGCTGAGCAGACAGCGAAAATTTTCGAGCTTGCCTGTACTTAAACTTTTTGTGAACAAGTCCGCAACTTGATCATTTGTCTTGACCTGTCTCATCTCAATCTCTTCTTGCAGAACCTTTTCTCTGATAAAGTGGTAATGTACCTCCACATGCTTAGTTCTTGCATGAAAGACTGGATTTTCCGCCAAGCGAATTGCCGATTGGTTATCACAGTACAATGGTACTGGATAATCTACTGGTTGATGTAGATCACTCATCAACTGTACCAGCCATGCATTCTCTTGAGCTGCCATTGCTGCTGCTCTATATTCTGCTTCAGTGGTTGACAATGATACCGTCGGCTGTCTCTTGCTACACCAAGAGATGGTTCCAGAACCAAGCTTAAACACATACCCAGTTGTTGATCTCCTGGTATCATGATCTCCCGCATAGTCAGCATCACAATAACCAACTAACTTGCAGTCTTCACCTTTCTTGTACAAAAGACCATAGTCAATTGTACTCTTCACATATCTTAGTATTCGTCGAACTGCTTCCAAGTGAGGCTTCTTTGGATTTTGCATGTATCGACTCATCACACCAACTGCATAAGAAATGTCAGGTCGAGTCAAGGTTAAGTAGATCAGACTACCTACCAATTGTCGATACATCGTCGCATCTTCCAAATCTTTTCCTTCATGTGCATTCATTTTGACATTTGGCTCCATCGGCGTAGAGATCAGCTTGCATTCGAGCATTCCGAACCTCTTCAATAAATCTTTGGAATACTTCTGTTGACAGAGAAATATTCCTTCTTGTGTGCGATCAACCTCTAGACCAAGGAAGTGCTTGAGTTGACCAAGTTCCTTCATTTGGAAACGGACTGATAAATTCTCCTTCGTCCGAAGAATTTCTGCCTCATCATCACCGGTTATGATCAAGTCATCCACATACACTAGCACGATAGCTAGCTTTCCTTCATTGGCTTTGACAAACAAGCTGGAATCTGCAGGTGTTACTGAATAACCACTTTGTGTTAGAAATTCAGCAATCTTACCATACCACGCCCTGGGTGCTTGTTTCAATCCGTAGAGTGCTTTCCGCAGTTTACACACATATTCAGGATGATCTTGGTTCTGAAATCCCATTGGTTGGATCATGTAGATCTCCCGATCCAGCTCTCCATGAAGAAAAGCATTCTTCACATCCATCTGCCACAGATTCCAATCTTTGTTGGCTGCAAGTGCAAGTAAGACTCGGACTGTTGTAAGCTTCGCCACTGGACTAAACGTTTCATCATAGTCTAGTCCGTACTGTTGAGAGAAACCACGAGCTACTAATCGTGCCTTATACCTCTCGATTGACCCATCTGGACGACGCTTTATCTTGTAAACCCACTTGCAGGATATGGGTTTCACATCTCTTGACTTTGGCACGAGATCCCAAGTCTGATTTTGCTGAAGTGCATCAAGCTCTTCTTTCATAGCTGTCATCCACTCAGAACTCTGCGATGCTTCTTCGAACGTCTCAGGTTCTGTTGCTTCATCAGTTATTGCTGCATTGGCATATTTGGGATTTGGTCTCCGTGCTCTTGTTGACCTTCGGAGTTGAGATTGTGGAGTTGATTCTTCCGGTACACTAGGCCCACCTTCTTCGTCTGGTTGTTGATACATGCCAGTTTGCCAAGTACTCTTAGGTACTTCTTGGTCGACATTGTCTCCAGTAAGCAAATCTTCAGGCTCATCTGGACTTGATTGGATTTGGGCAGCTTGGTCTCCCAGTTTCCCTTGCAACGTATCTTCAAACTCTTTTGGGTCAGGTGACGCCTCATTTTCTGAGCACCAACAAGATGATGCTTCTGCGTCCCATTCTTCCTCCACAGCTAGAGACGCAACGACATCCCAATCATCTTCAATTTCATTTTCTGAGCACCAACAAGATGATGCTTCTGCGTCCCATTCTTCCTCCGTAGCGAATAATGCTTCAGCATCCCAGCCATCTTCACTATTCTCCTTCGAACTGGAAGTAGCAGTATTACTTTCAACAGGCTCTTTCTTGGTCCAACAATCTTTCGCCATGTGGCCATTCTTTCCACAATTGTAACACTTGCCCTCAAATCTTTTATTATTTTGGGACTGACCACGATTGCCATGATACTTCGGAGCTCCCCCTGGCCGAGAACTCCCTCCTCCTTGATGACCTTTTTCCTTGTCACCATTTCTTTTAGATCCACCACCAGCACGCTGCTTAAAGCTGCCTTTGCTTTTGTTGGTGTAG